TTAAAACTTTTTAAACATTAATTTCTTGAAGTGCTGCAATTTTTAAATTATTCTGACTTAATTTTTTTTTTATTGTAAGATCTCAAAAATTTGTAAAGAAAAATGTAAAAGACATTGATAATATTTGCATCATAATTCATAATACTCCACATATATAATATCAACAATTAACGAGATCGATAGGAGCAAGCCAGTGAATAGTTTATTAACTAGAAATTCAGTTTGTTCATTGCAAGCTGCTATATCAGATTATTTTATTTCATTTTGTGCAATACAAATATCATAATTATATAAAATAAGAAAAGCTATTATTCAGTTACAGAAAAAAGAAAAAATTTATATTTCATATATTGAATAAAATTTATAAAAAAATTTAAATTTAAATAAAAATTAAAAAATTTTAAAAAACACTTTATTTATATGTTTTAAATTGAACCTAAATTACACATAAATACTAATAATATTAATAAATTTATAAAATTTAAATTTTTTAATTATAACTCGGCTTTTCAATAATAAGTATGTAGCACGTAATAACTGTAAGCTTGAAGAGAAGAAATTGTTTTGAGCGGCTATTTTACACGTTGTATGCTTTTGTAGCCACAAAGGCGATGAAACGAGCGTTGATCGCGGTGAAAAACATGAATAATAAATAATAGAGCATCCCAACTTGTGCTGCTGTCAAGCAAGCGGAACTGCCGGTCCGGCGGCCTTCGGCTTTTCTCCGTGTCAGAAATCAATTTCCAGCTCCTTTCCTGCGTCCGCCCTCACAATACGCTCAATTGCGCGGCTACAAAGTGGACCGTCGGAGAAAAATCGAACGTCGAGTGCACATGCAGATGTCAGACTTGATTTCCTGCCTTTTCCATTCACACGCAACCGAGTCGATAATTTGTCATCCGCTCGCACGCTCCGTCATATTTTTATTTTTTTCTCTCTCTTCCCGAAGAGAGATGCTGCGGCCAAGTTGCCAGCCAGTTTGTGTCCTGCAGCAAGAAGTTAGTTCGGCGGTCGTCGCCGGTCCTTTTTGTTGTGACAAACGCACAAGTTGTCAAAGAGCGATGAAGAGAAAGGTCCACACAACACGCCGCGCATATAGCGAGTGCGGGCGGGCGGTGGGCTTGTCGCAAACTTTCAAAGTGGTGCGGTCTGGCGCTTCTTTTCCGTCGCTCCTCTCGGATGAAAAGGGAAAGTAAGTAAAGTGCCTTTTTGGACCGATGGACAAACACGGACAAAGAAGATAGACTAGGGGAGATAAACCCGGCCTCAATTTTCTCCGAGAAAATATGCATATTTGGCCAGTTCTACGCTGTGCTTGCTAATAAAAGCCCTTTCAATTTTAAACGTTATTTTTAAATTAAAATTTGAGTGGTTTGTAGCAAATTAATTTGATATAATAGTCAATTGAATTATTAAGTTTATCAAAACAATATTAATTTTTGTACGTGTAAATAAGCTCTGAGAAAAAATTATTTACATTAAAATGTATATTATTGAATAAGTTTTGAATAAAAATTAATTTAATATAATTAGAAGAGCTCCTATTAAGATGTATTTTTGCATGCTTACAACTAAAATTTGATAATCAGAATCAGCCAAGTGGAAATTCCATCGGCATAAAAATAATCACACGGGTAAATCAAAAACATTCTGTTTGCTTATTATTAAACATTAACCCAATTTAAAGTTCTTTATAATCCAAATAACGTTTTATGAAGAATTGAAATAAATTTAAATTAACATCTCTGGACTAGAGCTTTTTATATTCTCAAGGATATCTGCTGGTCTACACTTTACTTCCAATAGTTCTGTATTATGTGAATTTTTAATTAAGTCTTTAACAGTTTTTAATATAATTTTTAAAATTTTCCAGGCAATGAATTTGGTCTTACGCCTTTGAAGTTTTTATGCTTCCAATAAATTATGTTTAATTTGATAAATTTCTTGCAACTTTTATCTTATATTCAAGCCAAGATTAGTTTAGAAAGAAATTTCAAAATTGATAAGAAAAATTATAATTATAGATTTGTATTAAATGAGTTTTTACATGTTAAATCAGCAGCTGCTTTTCATTTTGACCAGGTTGCAGCTGAGATTGAGGGAATGTGCTTGTATTATGCTAATCAAGCGGGCTTTCTGCGTGAAAATCATTCATGTCGTGCGTGTCCCTTTTAAGCAGCTCCCGATGGTGAGAGGTGCCGCGCCAAATATAAGAAGAAAAGCACAGCAGCAGCAGCAGCCGGAGCCAGTTTAGCAGCTCAAACTCGCCACAATCTCTTAAGATAAGGAATTGCAAAGTAAGAAGAGAGAGAGAGGAAGGAGCGAGTGGAAAGTGTGCACAAGGGCGAGGGTGGATCTCTGTTAAGAGTGCTGGGTGCGAAAGGGTGCAGCTAGAAGAGAAAAGCTCTAAGTTACACAAGACGGAAGGGCGGCCGGGGTGTGTTTGGTCGGCACCCTCGGCTTAAGTCCGGCACGCCTATCGACCAGCAGCTTTCAAGGGTCAGCGCTTAAATTGTAAGAGAACCCCTTTTGCTTTTGTTAATGACGGACCTTTATTCCGAGGCGCGCCTAATCCTGGCCCTGGCATTAATCATTTCGCCATTATCCACCCCGAAGGGAGTGACATTCAATTAGACTTGCACTTATTTTCAATTGCCTCTCCGCAACCGAGAGAGAGAAATGAGCGGCCGGTCCGGCATTGGCGAGGGGTCCAATGTGAGATAGGACACACGTGGGATGTAATTTATGCGTGGGGCAGCACACGATTTGGCGTCAGGCCATTATGTGAATTCATTAAAAGAGAAGCAGAGCCAGAAGTGTCAGCTGCAAAGAATTTATTAATTTTTTTTATTATACAGATGAATTTAATTTTCATAATGTTAAATTCTAATTTTTAATTAAAAATTTACGTATTCACAGAAAAAAAATATTGCTTTATAATTAAACTTTTTTTGTTATATGGTGGCAAATAAAAACCTTTTTCTTTTTTTTATCTTTAATTAGTTTTTAAATGCAACCTGCACGACATGCGTGTCATGAAATTGCATAATGTCTCATACTTGAGTTATTTTTTATTTTGTTTAATATTATGGATAAATTATTCCATCTTCATCTGTCTACTGTGTAAAACGGAAATTTTTACTGTTGCTAATTCGGAAAAATTTAGAGAATTGAATTCAAATTTAATTTTTTACTCAACATAAAATTTTGTCTCGCATTCTTGATTTTCTGAAAATTGTGCCTCTCAATTTTTTCCTTCCTACGCCGTCGTGTGATAATCGCGAAATTTTTAAAAGCCATTTAATGAAATTTTTCCATTTGCGTAATTAAGCTCTTGAGTGACGCGAAAATAAGGAAATTTGCTGCCTGCGCGGCCGTCAAGAGATATAGAACGCACTCTAAGTGTGCTTGCTTAGTTCTTGAAAAAAAAATATATCCCGCAGCCTCGGACGAATCGCTCAACAGCGAACTGCATCCCCGTCAGAAAGAAAGACGTAAACCGCGATGAGGATTCATTAAGCAGCGCGCTCTCCAAAACGCAATTAACGCTCCCAGCAATGCATTAGTGAAGATAATTATTGTCTTTTTGGAGAAGCAGAAAAATCAACATAATATAAAAAGTGCTCAAGAATAGAATGAGGAATAAAGTGATCTCAACTAGGTGGCAAAAAATTAATTAAAAAATGGAATTCTGACATTTTTAAAAAAATGAAACTAAATTCTAAATTACTACTTTTCATCATCTGTAAGTAAAAATTCAATCTTGCTTATAGTAAAACTCCATCAGTCCCAATTTATTTCAATTTAATTTTGAATATTTTCCATCAGGGTTGGGGTGGATCCGTGGATTGCCTGCATGGTAATAAAATAGGGATCGAAAATCACAAATTACTTGAAAGGATTCGTTTTCCCCGGTCCATTATGCGCGCTGTCTCTCGAAGGGGCTTTTTCTTTTTTCATTTTTGAAAGAACCGGCCGTTCCGATGTCAAAATAGACGGCGAGCCTTCCAATTTGTGATTGCATGACGCACTCACTTTGCTTCTGCTGCCATTGGATATTTACCAATAATGAGAGGGACGCACATGTACGGCGCGGCGAGATCAAATTTTGTTGTCTTCTGATGGCATCGTCGATCGTGATTGCGCTTTGAAACGCAGCCGTGAGTTATTCTCTCTCCGAATACATAAAAGTATTGGGTTTCAAATGCTATCCTGCGATGATGATGGCGCGCGCGATGGCATTTTGGAATGACGTGTGTGGGTATGGATTTCATAAATTAAACAGACAGAGAGAAAAAGCACTGTGTTTAGAAATGCTAAGGAAAAAAATGTACTTTTACAATAAAATAAAATATTTGAACATGATTTACGTTAATCATCTCAAAAAGGATCCCTTAATTACAATGAAAATGTAAAACCTAAACTGCATTTGAGTAAATTTAAAATACAATATCGTCATGGTTTCAAAATAAGAAGAAAAATCAAAATGGGGCACGATGAAATCCGGAGATCCATACCATTATATTAATTAGATAGTAAATTGGCGTTAATTTGTTTAGGCTGGCGTTACGCATGTATGCATAATTAAGCATTTTTCACGCACGCCACGGTGCCACGATCCTGATAAACTATACTATTATAGAGTATTATTTAAATTTTGATTAATTAATTTTAACGCTATTATTTGAATAAAATATAAAATAATTTTTAAAAATTATATTTTAATTACAATTTTTATAATGAATATCATTATCTAAACCTTTCTTTATAAATAAAGTGTTTTAATATTTACTTAACTAAACAATTATTACTTATATTAAATTTTACTTTTACTCAACTCGTATGGGCAACCTTGAAGATTATGTTTTGAACAGCCGCGAGGAAGGGTCGGAGGCGCAGAGAGGGCGAGGACAAAAGGGCGGCTTTGGAACTTTGTATAGTGGTGAAATTTCTAAACTTGATCATCATAATAAAAAATGGAAGTTGTTTAGAAATCCTACCTGAGAGAAGGTCAACGCTGACTGGTCTTGACCAGGGCGAAAATCTTTCCAGGGCCGCTTGCTGATGATGGCAGGTTAATTGCCCGCCTGAATGATGGATCTCTTCAAAACAGTCCCTCTGGCCCAGGGTTAAATTTTGGTTCAGCTTTGCAGGGTCCTTCAATCCAGTGACTGCCACTGAAATGAAAAACATAAAGTTTATTTATGTGGTGATTGATTTTGATAATTAATGCAATTCCAATTAAGATTTTTTCACTTTAATTAAGAAAAAGAACATTTTTTCAATTAAGATTTAAAACAATACAGAGAATGATGTATGTATTTTAATGTCATAATGATTCACATTTTAGACTTAAAAAAAGAGGAGCTTTCAGGGAAAATTTAGTACCTGACGAAAAGGCTTCATTTTTGTCCACAGAGACTTTTGAAATTCTGCCGGGTTTGTTGTAGACATGGCTACACCTTCCATCGACTTAAACTCCAGATACCGAGTAACATGTAACATCCATGTGGATTTAATAACTTCAAAAATTGTCCATGAGTCACGAGGAATTCGAAATGAGGTCTGCATTCCAGTCGCGACCTCGGCCGTAGAATTCATCAGGTGTTCATCATAGTGCCAATGAGAATGACGCAGTCTCGGTTCCCAAGCCTTCAGGTTCCACTTATTCTCCAAGAAAATTTTTGTCTAAAAAATTTTCATTTTAAATAAATTCTGTAAATTTCATCTTGCGGAAATGCGGAGTAGCTATAGATGCAAAAGATGTGCACATGTTTATGCTGATGATAGTGATAGTGATGATCGACTGGCATCACTGCCCTGCCCACTGGTAAGTGGTAACGTGAAACGTGGTGACTGGCGTGAACGTGAAATATGGATGGAAGAAATGGATCGGCAATGAAGAAGCTTATGAATGCGCAAGCTGGTAATATGAGGAGGATGTATGTTCTTCGTAATACGCTGTGTAAACTAGAATGGAATGTGTGCGGTCAGAAGTGAAAATTAAAATATGTTACACATAACAAAGAATGCGAAGAAACAAGAAACTTAAGTGAACATAGTGCGTGCGAATTCCTTGAAAATTGAAGGCCGCCAACCGCCGCTAAACAATTTACAATGTGGGGCATAAGGCGCAAAAATTTTGGCTCTTGCGTTTGGATTTTATGTAAGGTAATTAGGCGCATATTAATGCCATTTTCATCTATATTTTAATTAAACCGAGTTTTAAGTTACCAATATTTTTATTTTTAGCGCTGTTAATTATTTATTTTAATTTTAAAATTTATTTTGCTACAAAAAAATTTTTAATTTTTAATTATTCAATAGAAATTGATCAGTTTCACGTCCTTGTAGGTTTAAAATTCCGTTGGTGTAGAAGACAAGACGTAAAACCACGTGACGTGAGACTTTACATGGGAGCATACAATTTGCAAAAAACCTACGTTAAATCTATATTGATTTTATTTTACTCCTAATAAATCTCAATGGGAAAACCCGTCGCGCCTAATAATATTACCGTAAATTGTCCCAAATCTTGATCTAGAAATTATTGTCTGGTTTACATTTAATTGGAAATTTTCTGTTTTGTGTTTTGTGTCCGCCAATATTAAATCCATTCAATTTCCAGAAACATATAATACGAAATTGTTTTAAAAATATATCGCAGTAGAATACTTTTGTAATTTTAGAATTGTTTCTATTTTTTGTCACAAAAAGGGGTGCAGTTAGTAGCCAAAATAATATGTTTCCAATATTAAATTTCTATTTAAATTACAATTAATTTTTGAGAGCATTTCTTCAATAAGATTTTTCAAAACATGTGTCTAATCTTTGCATTTTGTTTAATCCTGAATACAGCTGCATCCAATAATTTTATTCATGCTAAGTTATTTCCTCCATATCTCTAGTAAAAAGTGTTCAGATAAAAAATATGCAAAACAATTTTGTCCAAGGAATGGCGAGGCAGAAAAAAAAACATACTTTGCGAGGAAAAGCAGTCGTTAAGCGGAAGGGTGTAAAATTCGCCAATAAAATTTGTCAACTTTATATATAAGACTGCGCGCAGTGTGAGAGGCGGAAGGAAGAAAGGTGTAAAGATCCCAAAAGAGACGCGAGTCCCCGAACAACATCAATGCAGTGCGCGCAAAAGAGCATCTTTCCACATTAGGTCCTATAAAGTTTGAGACGCGACGGCCGACTCTGGGCGGCGCAACCCTCGCCGGCGCCGACCGCTCCACCCGTTCGCCCCATTCGGATTCCACCCCGAGGAGTTCTCCGGGGGTTGCGCCGCGCCACCACCCAGTGTCCAACATGTTTACAATGTGTTTCCATCTTGATACATAAAAGGATAATCAAGAAAGCTAGCGCGCGCTTCTCTGCCCACCTCGGCGGAACGGCCGGGGCGGCCCGGGGTGACTCCCTTTCTTTCTTTACTGCCGCATCGCATATATATTACTGCAACCCGCACTGGCTATAGGAAAATATTACCTTGTGCCAGAAGAAGAAACCTGTAAAACGTGGGGCGCGTGTCGGCTCCGCACCACGCTCGCCGAGCAGACACATTATTACGCTGAGAAAAGAACAGGCGAGCGACTTGCGGCCCTTCGAGAACACACACCAAAACTCAACTCTTTCCTCTCTCCATTTATTTATCTCGCAAATGTACTGAATTTAATTTAAAGCGTGAAAAATGAATATAAAAAATTATATTATAATATTTTTATTTTTATCTTTCAAGCACTTTCAAGTGATCTTATTTATTCGATTTATTCCATTTTAGGATTCATAATTATTAATTATTTATTTCTACATTTTATTTAGATTATAAAACTTGTTTTTATAAACTCTTGCTTTTTTCCTGCCTAAATTAAGCACATATAAGCCATTTTTAAAACACTCGTTTTAAGAGGGAGATAAACAATCAAAATTTATCAGCTGCAATTTTATATCTTCGGTGCAACCAATGAGTGTAAAACGTTCAGCCGCACTAGAACAGCATTTGAAATACAATTTTAATCTGCAATTTATGCCGTTTACTCTTAAGTATAAATAAAATAATAGAAAACATGAAATGAACATGAAAAGTTTTTTATGGTGTAAAATTAATTAATGTATTTCCATTCAACAATAAAATATTCAAGTAATGAACTAAACTAAATATTTTAATTCTTCTGGTTTGAACAGAAAAAGTGTACCAACTGACCAATACAATTTTTGTGTCCATACTTATCACAATATACTTTAAATTGAAAAAAGCAATTTGTTGGGGGAGGAATAGAAATTTTAATAAACCATTAAGCCGATTTCCAATAAATTTCCGTCCTCTTTCCATTTTATTTATGAAGAGGGTGAGTAGAGAAAAAGCACCGTAGAAAAGGTATACGGAGTAGAAAAGCGATGGCTACAGAAAGAACGGTCGGTCATAATATGATGGGCAAAGGCTTATTTTATGCTCGGGAAATAAGAAAATGACGTCCTGAGCCGCTCACCGCCTCTCCAGCTCTGTATGTATCAGCAAGAAACGTCATGTGATGGCTCTTAAAGATCTTTCTGCGCCGACTTTATACTATACGGACTTCAATTTGCCGTAAGAAGGATTTTCTGCTACCGGCGGGGTCGTCGCAGGATTTAGCCGTTCCCCATTCTTGCATGCGCCGTCCCTGCTCGCTGAGGGTTAGTTTTACGCTGTGTCCTGCTCGCGAAGTCAAAGGTTCTCAAGCTCTACTTCATTGATTTAGTTTTGTGAGCCAAGAAAGTGAATAACATGTATGCTGAAATTAAAAATTCTAATCAAATTAAATTCACTAAATCATTCTTTGTCCTTCTAAAAAGTCTTACAATAGAATAATTCAATCATGAATAATCATAAGATAGATAAAAATAGACTATAGAGAGAAAGAATAATTAGAAAATCAAGTTAGAATAGTTACTGAATTTGATATTAATAAATAATAAGAGCAATAATAATAATCAGCTGCCAATAAATAATTTAAAAGTTAATACGTGTTTTTTTCTTTTTCGATTTTTTATAGTTATAAATAATAAAAAAACTGAAGAAACTCTACAAAAAAATACTAAGATCTTTCTTTAATAGTGGCAATATCAGAGTAAAGCTGGATCACAATAACTGACAAATAAATTATCAGCAGATTTGAAGCTCGCTCACGTCAACCGCATTTCAGAGCTCTGGCAAAACGCGGCGCGCACCCTTGCTCGAGCCGCGTTCGGAGGGAAAAAGGACAAAATTGGAAAGCGGGCGTCCGGAATACCAATGGGGCATTCTTCTTTGGCGGAAAAAGAAAGATAGGAAGGAAACTACTACCGTGGCAGCTCCGCAGTGCCGGCCGGACATTTGGCCGGTGCGGCGGCCTCCATACTGATGAGCCAGCCGTGATGTTGCTGCTTTTCTATCTCGCGAAAGCTGCATCGTCCGACCGACACTCGCGCAGAATGCCGAGTGGCTACCGCTCATTTCACTGCCGCATTCAAATTGTTGCCCTAATCACATTTCACTTGGCTGTGGTGGTGAAAGCCTCATCAGGACGAATTGCCGCTTGATTGAATCAACCGGGAAATATACGACTTGCCCAGCGCTCGTTTTACTACTCTGGTCTCACCCCTATATCTGCGCTCGGCCGCACACTTTTCTTGTCGCTTCCGTTATACTTCTTACGCTGAATTTTCAATTACTTTACCCATGACTGCTATGAAGTTGTGGGATGTTTTTAGAATAGTAGCAATTGTGTACCAGAAGGGAGAAATCAAACTATTTTACCCGATCTTTTTTTACCAAAAATATGTTTCTAAAAAGTTTATTACATAGTCTAGTCTCACAACATTCATGAAAAGAAATAAATTTAACGTAAAATTATAATAAATGCCATAAAAATACTCTCTGATTGATAAAAAGTTTTGCAATAATCAACAGAGCTTTTTTTAAATAAAATTCAACAATTTAGATAAGTTTCTTTCTGGTTTTCTCGTTATTTGATTAATGGAGTCAATTTTTTTGGTATATGTTTGTAAATGGTAGTGGAATAAATAAAAAAAAAAACAATTACTTTTCTAACTGGATTTTTATTAAAAATTAAATATACCTGTCAACTTTTATTTATTATTATATAAAATTTATCATTTTCACATTGTGTACGTTAAAAAAACTCAATTTCATATTATTATGTATTTTAATTGTTAAAAATAAAAATAGCATCCTTTTTTTATATTATGATGTAAAAAATTTATGGCCAGACGAAGACGTACAAAGCAAATCTAACTTGTTCGCTGCACCCCCACACAATGTATTTTGTTTTCGCAATGCACGTGGCAGCGGGGGCTGTTGCGAAAATCCACCCGGCGCGCTCGAAACGGCGAGTCGTCGAGTGTCTCTTTCTCTCTCTTCCAACTCTCGGAGCGTAGCAGGATGTTTATTCACAAAAGGCAAACTAATGGGCTGCTGCGCGCACATTTATCACAACAATAACAGAGTGGTGGAAAAAGCGGACAGACGTGCACATAATATTCTCCGAGAAAAAGGAAAAGGTAAAAAAAGCAGCGGGCGGATGATGGCCGAGGGCCATGGCTGCTGCTGTTTTTCCATCCGTTGTTATTATTATAACTGTGTATAGGTTATGATATTGCTCTGCTCTTGCTTTTTTCCTCCTCTCTTCCCGCCTCCGCCGCCGCCGCCGCTCTCCTCTCTGAATTCCTATTGTTTTTCTCTCCGCTCCATATATTCACTCTCTGGGCGGATAACAAGTCTCCCGAGATCCAATTACTGCTCGCGTCCTGCAGCATCAAAAAGAAGAGCCTTCGTGCAGGCAGGTGTACACTGTGCGCGCTTATTGCTCGTCCCATGCCGCCGCCGCCAAGACAACAAAATAAATTCACAACGCGGCCCCAAACACACATCTCGAGTTGCACTCGTCGATTCAGAAATATATACATTTTCCACTTTTTTCTCCGCGGCCGAGTGTTGAAATTGGAACTCTTATGCAGAGTGCGGCAGCAAAGAGACGAGCAGGTTGCATAATTGACGTTCTGCAGGCGTTCAGTCAAGAAAGCAAAGTGATCCGGTGGCTCGGAAACTGATAATTTGGAAGCGGAAACTGAATCTTTATAAACGAGTACAAATAGAAATAACTGTCCCTCGTTTTGGAGTTCTGAAAATTTAATTTAATTTTTTTCCTATTTACAAATTAAAAAATTCGGTGAATATTAAATTTTTCTTTAAAAAGCAAAAAAAATATCCATGCCATTTGAATTAAATTTTTTTTTAAACGAGTGACATAACGTTGATTTTTTGGATTTTTTAAAATCAATGAGCATATTGTTCATCAAAACTGATTTTAATTACAATCCTTAATATTCACTTATTATTTTTCGTTTTTTTTCCATTTCAATATGCTTTAGGGATAATTAAACCCTAACATTAAAACATTTGAAACAACTATCAACTTGCGTAATGAGAACTGTGATACTCAATTTTGCTGCCTTGCCTTATGCAGGGTCCGACGATACCAGGAATTATGCTCCCACTTAATCCCACTTCACCAGGGAGGGCATTACTTGCAGATTGGAAGATTTCAATGATTATGCAAAACCATTCAGCATTAAGGCACACTCTCAGTGGTCTGCAGGGGTGCTTTCTCTCTCCAGCCAAAGTTCCCACCAGAGCCTCGGCTCAACATTTCTTAATGCTGCGTGCAATATTCCTTGATGCCCCATTATTCAACCCTTCGTACTCTCAGAATCCCGGGCCGCACTATATAATCCTCCATTGGGATTTTTGAGACCCTAAAACACCTTGACCTTTAAAATTTAAAACCATATCTCAATGTTCAACAAAATTAAAATCCATATCATTGAATTTATTCAACTTAAATTGGTTTTTTGAGAGTTAATTGATTACACATAAAGTATATAAAAGGCATGTCCGTCACTTTACTTGACTCGGAAATCAAGTCCAGGATGAAGTGATCTGAATTTCCCAGACGGATATAAAGCCAAAAAAGAAAGGGGCTGAATGGAGACTACGTCTGTGGGATAAAGAGAGAGCCGCTGCTGGGGCCGCTTGATTGAACTACTGGTCTGTACAACAATAAATTTCCCCATTCTAAATCCGCTTTTTCTTTCTTTAGTCCTTTCCTGCCGCGCTCTTCTCTCCAAAAGGATCACAAGAGTCGATTTATCTTTGCCCTTTAGCCATAGAAAAGGCTTCCACTGACTGAGATATACGGGAATAATTTTGTCTCCTTTCCTCGACCAAAAGAGAGATAATCACAGTACTTTTAAAATTGGGCTTATATACCCTGCGATATAGATTCAGAAGGTTTTGTTTGAATGTGAATCACAGTGGAAATTTTTAACAATTCAGCCCTTTTATTCAATTGCAACTGGACCTTTTTGTACATAAACTGAAAGTTAAGGATGGAATGGAGACAAATGTATTTTTACTGCACAGGGCAGTTGTTACAAAATGTATAAAATAGCGTAAAATTTTAGTTGATGCATTTTTCATGCTCGTATACAGAAGTTTATCTGTATTAAATTAATAGTGTGTGAAAACGTTCTTTTATTTAATTAGAATATTTTATCTATGGCGGTGATAGGGGCTTCGGCTCCTGCTTCTGTTTCTACGGTATGACCTTCCACCTCTTTCGTATCTTTCTCGACTGCAACATGATTTTCCATAATTTTAAATTATGACAATCATTCCAAATTAACTGTTAACTTAGTATGATTTTTGAGAAGTAAGCTTACCTGTCTCTCCTTGACCTGGATCTGGAGCGGCTTCTTGAACGCCTTCGTCGGCGTGAGCTGGACGATGACCGACGACGCCGTGCTGGAGAGCGTTCGCGCCGTTTTGGGGATCTCCTGGCTTTAGGCGAGTTGCTCTTGCTTCTTCCTCGGCCACTGGCTAACTGACTTGCCGACTTAGGTGACATCGATATTGACCCGGACAAACTTAAGTTGTCCTCGTCCGAATCTCGGTGCATCATCCTTTCCCTCTCCCTTTAATAGGGAAATGGTTTAAAAATTTGCTGTCTATACAATAATAAAAATCAAAACTTACATCATGCGTCGCCTCAATTTAATAGACATTTCACGTAATTCCTCCTCCCGGTCCATTCGCTCCTGCTCAGCTTTATCTTGGCGCTCCTTTTCTGCTCGTTTATCGGCTCGATCTGAAATACTTGCTTTGAGCACGCAGTTTTAAAAAGGATATGCTGAACTTACATTGTCGGTTTAGTAGAACTTGCATCCTTTTTTTAAGCAGCTCCTGCCGAGAATTGTTCGAAAGCTAAAATAAATACATTAAGTCAGTCTGTGCTCATCAAACATTCAAAATATGCAAATCTTATGATATAATGAAAGCACTGTTGTAGGTAAACATTATAAATATGAAAAAATGTTATAAATAAGTGCTATCTAATTTTAAAGTGACATAATTTTATCAACGATTTAACTCAATAAAATAGATTTGTTTACAAACGAAGGTTAGCTCAAAATTTTTAGTTAGGAAACAATTGTCTACATAATTATATAACCAGAAACAAAATAATGCCATTTAAATTGCCAACACAACATTTTTCAAAACCCTAGCAATTATTCTAAGGTGACTTTTATTCTTACTGACTTTGCGTGCAGCACCAGAATTACCCGAAGTCGATCTTTCATCATTTCTGAAAATCAAACTCCCATGTAGAAATCAGCAATAAAGAATATCAACACAATACTTTCTACTAGAGCTTGCGTTGGACTTTTCATTGTCGTTTTCAGAATCGACTTCCATATCTGAATTCGATGATGACACATCTTCTTTCTTCCTACCATAGTAACGCTTTATAGGCGGGGCTGGAGGTATTTTGGGGGACGTTTCTCTCTTCGGCGATTTAGATTTGGACTCTGAAACCCTCAGAGAGTTGCGCTTTGGTGATGCTGAAGATGAAGAGGAACTCCTCTTTCTGCTCCTCTGCGACCTCAAACTAGTACTAGAACTACTTCGGCTGCTACGACGCCTTGAGCGAGATGACGAAGACGAACTGGAGCTCCTACTTTTCCTCCGTCTAGTTCGGCTTCGACTGTTAAAATAAAACTTTTAGTTAACAAAAACAAACATCTCTTAAAATAAAAATACCTTGAAGAACTGCTGCGTCGCCGTTTCCTTGATCTTGAGCTGCTTGACCTTCGACGACCTCTTCCTCTACTAGACTTTCTGGATCTGGAGCGAGAGCTAGAGGAGGAACTGCGTCTGCTCGGTCGGCTTTTTCTAGGTGGCGAATTGGTTGGTCTGCAAATATTATAGCCAAGTTAGTTCCGTCACTGCGATCTCTCCACAAGCCCTTTGTGTTGAGAAAGAACTATTGCGTCTACCGACCGGTTAGATGATGCTTTGGAACTTATGTTCTTGGGTGCTGATTTGTTTGCCACGGACAGTGGCAGTGATGGCCCTTGAACAACAGAGCGCTGTTCATTATCCGAGTCGTCTCCACCAAAACTGGTGATGTAGGTTATTTGGCCAGAATTGACAGGCGAATGTGAGCGCGATCGAGACTTTGAAGTAGATTGTCTATTGTTGCTTGGACTCTCCTTAGCAGCGTAACTGCAGAAATAATCAATCGAATCAGAAAGTTAAAAAAAAAATGAATGAAAGTTACCTTGGCGGACTTATTTTACGTCCCATCAGTCGTTTTTCCCTAAAAGCGCGTCTTTCTCTTCTTGATTTCCTTCCCTAAAATTTATTTATTATAAAAAATGTATTAAGTGGGCTTTTTAAATGTCTCACCGAATACAAGGCTTTTTCCTCCTCTTGCTCCCTAGCTGCTCTTAAGGCTTCTTGCTCCTCTACGTCTTTGGTCAACATGCTATAAAAATCGTTGCCCACAAGTCCAAATTTGTGTGCCTGCTTATTCATATCATTTGCCTGGGTAGGGCCGAGTTGATTGATATCCACATTCAAATCTATAATAATTGTTCTGTCTGAATTATCTCGTCATTATTGATAAAAGATACAAACCAAAATCAATATCTTCCTCGTTGTCGTCCTCCTCCTCAGACTCTTCGTTTCCCACGGGGGGCTGTTTGCCTCCAAAAGGTTGAGGTGTTGAATCTTCATAAACGTAGCCAATCGCCGCTTTCTTCTCAGCCAGTTTCTTTTTCTCCTCTTCCTTCACCTTGGTGGTGTTAGCACCGACTGAACCGTATTGTTCCTCAATATGAATTTGGTGCAGAAATTTTTCTTCGGTAGCTGAATTTTGAATGATTAGATTTGATAAAAATGAACAAGGCCGATAATCATACTTCCTAAAAACTCATTTTGTACAAGAATCCTGTATCGCTCGTAGTTTGCCTGTCGCTCCTCCAAGTTTTCTTCTTTAGTCAGTTTAATATCAATGTTAGTAGGAGTTTCGGGTATGTGGTCCAAATGGGCTCGAACATCAAAGCGGTCGATCAGATTGTCAGCTTGGCCAAGCCACGGCATCCTTGAGTTGCATAAAAAAATTAGACGTGAACAAAAAAATTAACGGTAAAACTTACATGCTGACTTTGCTGTCAGCTGCCTGGGCTATCGCCGGGTCGATATAAATTCGGCTTTTCCTGCCGTGAAGTTGCAAAAACTGGGTAGGATCCGCTTTCTGAAAATTTATTGAAACTTAGAATTGACTGAAAACTCAACGAGAAAAAAATAATCATACGGTTTTTTCATAAAATTCCCTGCGTCGTTCCGCCCTCTTCTTGTAGTCGACGATCATTCCGCGGATTTTCTTTTCCTGCTTCCGCGCTTCGTGCCACATCTTCGAGCACTTTTTGATATGTGTGAGCGAAATTCGAGCACTCAAATTGCATAGGCGACCAGACACACGCAATTTCGGCGTTTAAACAAAAAAAGAAACGGAAATTTGCTAAAGTTCTTGCCGACAAAAACTAAACAACAAAATACGCCGCCATACTAGAATGAATTATGACGTCACTGGATACCTCGGGCCAATCAGATTCGCGGATTCCGATTGGTATTGGATCGTTCGTGAGAATAGCAATTCATGTAACACTTTCTAATTTTTATTGAAATTAAAAATTAAAATTATTACTATTGAGTCTGACCGATTCAAAAGTGTTGATTTTTTTATTCTATAACTAATTTCACGATAAACTTTGCCAGGAAAATTGGTAAATTCGTATTTGCTTATCTGAACGGACTGAACGTGCAAATAGCACTTCCCCTCTTTCGAAAAATGTCCAAACCCCCTCAAGCGGCACTCCCACTCCCCGGAAAACAACACGATTACTGCATGGTGTCTGCAGTGGACGAGTCTCGTCTCGCCGGGAAAGTTCATTCACCAAGTTTTAATTTTTTTCGAATTCTTTGACACTTTTTCCAAATTGGGGTCTCCTTTCTGTCACCATGGACTGGTTGACCTCGACGTTGCCGAGGTCGTTCGACGTTTTCCCCGAGATCCCGCGCTGGTCGATGGGACTTTTGTTGGGCACTGGATTTGTCACCTATTACCTTTATGAGGCTGTCAAGGTTCGTAGTCTTTTAATAGATCGAAAATTTGGCAATTTTTCACAGTTTAAAACATTGAACCACTTAAAGTGTGGTTAAATCTTTGAGTAGCAACAGAAGCTGTTCTTTTATAGGCTTGAATTTGATTGTTTTCAGTATTTTTTTTTTCTTTTTCAGGCATGTAAAATATATATTGGAATTAAAAATCAATAACCTTCTTTTTATTTAAATTTATAAACACTATAAACAGTGATAAAATGCTGACCAGAAGCTGATAAAACGTAAATTAGGAGGCATTTTTTTTATTCTTTTGAATTATGCAAATTTTATGTGAGTCTATTTTGTTTAAAATAAGTTTAATAATATAATTGAGTTTCAAATTTTTAATGTAATAAAGGGAACTGCTTGAAAAGAATTTCACTTTAAAGTTTTAATAAAGAACTTCCCTACAGAAACAATTGAACAGTTTGTATAAAAAAAATCAATAAAAATTAAAATAAAGCCAAAATATTATTATTTGACACTCTATTCACTAAAATTAATTACTGATAAGTTAAAATTAAATTATATAATGGTTTTTTTTAGTTACAGCTCAGAAATTTATCTTGTGATCTTAAATTATAACCGATCTTAATTAAATTCAGGAATGTCCAATTATATTAAATCTCTACATGTCATCTAATGAATATTTTTTTATGAGAAATGGCGGGGAATATCGAAATTTTAGATTTTTATTATATTTTTGCTAGAAGCTCGTGGAACAAACAAAACAGGAAACAATTCAAACAAACTGGCAGCTCTCGTTCCCTATATTTTTGCCGTGACTTCCACAAAACTGGGTTTTCGAGACTGCAAAATTCAACATTCAAAAATTATGATTAAATAAATATAAATCATAATTGCTTATAAGAACTATTAAAAATTGCATACTTCATTCATTGATTAATGTATAATTAAATAATTCTAATAAATTTTTTATAGTTTTTCTCGTTTGATCCATTTTTAATTTTTTTATCGTTCCATTTTCAGTCAACAGCATAATTAAATTATCTGAAATAAAAATATTTAATTTAAAGTTTAAATATAATAAAAAGACAGATTCGTGTGTTGTGCGAGTTGCATATTGCGCAAAAATATAATGAACAACAATTTAATTAGAATTTTAATCTAAAATTACATAACTAAATTTTTTGATGATTTTATTTTGGACGGTTTTATTCTTTTTTCAGTCAGTTAATTCAACGAGGAGCTTCACTGAATCAATTTAAATTTGCAGAGTTCGAAATAACTATTTATTTGAATTTGCCAACCTGATTGGGTTGAAAAGATTTTGGATTGGTGAAATTTTAATTAATTTTAGTCAGGCCAATTAAGAGGGAAAAAATATTTTGGAACTTTCACAATCGTTACTATTTTTCCATGAAAACTAATTTTGATGCACAAAAAATAATTCTAAGATCAAATCAAGCAGATTTTACAGCCGAATTCCCACCTTAACGTGATTTTAAGTTCATCGTTGACGTCATTTTTTTTTAAATAAATTAATCACCACACAAAACAGCCTCAACATTTGACCCCTGTCATTAATCTATCAGTAAAATTTTCCTTGGTCAGATAAAGAAAAGATAAGATTTTGAAAGGAACCCAACGGCCTCTCCGAGTGTTTTGGTGCGCGATTGCAAGAGAAAAGAAGTTGATAATGCACTGGGGTGTTTGGTTTAGCCTGACAGGGCCAGTGCTGTGGACAATCGATACTGCCAGTCGCCGCGTGCGTTTGTTGGAAATAATGCCGCTTTTCAACGATCGCTCTTGATTGATTATCATTATACCATTTTGAAACTCGGCTCGTTTCATTGACCGTTTCAATATGGCACACGCGGCGCGAGAGTTAAATGGGCACCGGGTGACCTTCGGCGCGCCAAGTTTACCTATGCGCCTAGCCTTGTTTGTTCTCCACTTCGCAAATAGCAACGCAACATTTGGAAAAAGCAAAACACGCGCTCATATGATCTTATTCATTGCCCTTCAAAGATGGCCTAAATAATTCCAAATAAATGTTTTATTATATAATTTTGACGATTTATTTTATGTGCCAAGCAAAGCTTAAGTTCCCCTTTATTCGGGTAGGGGCATTTTTTTTTAATTTAATTTATTATCATCAATTACCATCATTTAAATATTGCATCCTTGACATCAATGCAAGATTTGTTCATGAAAAATAACATTCAAATAAAAAAAATATACTATTGCGATTTTATTTCAGAAGAATTGAAATAAAAATATTTTAACTATTTTATTTCCGATTTATTATGGCATAACATATTGTTCAAAAAACCATTTTTGTTTGATAATTTCATGCTACAAAATATTCATTATAAAATCATTATGTGACTATGCCAGGGAGACGAAAGGAAGCGAAATATATGGGGCATGATACTGTGTTTTCCTACCATGCAGCCATTTATTTTTTCAGGGAAAAAATATCAAGCTACAAAATTTTCACGAAAAACTAATTTAAAAAAAAAAAACTTTGAAATGATAATAAATTAAATTTGCAATTTTTCTGTATGGAACTTTAAGTATTGATTTTTATTGACAGTAAATGCTCGTTTTTCTCATGAATAATTTATTTTATCTCTCAACTTTTTTAATAAACTAACGAGATTATGTGGGGGTTGAAAGGTCTTAAGGTTATTCTGTGTCATCAACTAATTTTTTTCCAACAAATATTTATTTATTTATATGATAAGAGAAAAAATCAATTCCTATTATAAATAGTGGGATTGTTTAAATTAATTATAATTGACAATAACTTTATTTTAGCTTCTCAAATTCCAACTTCTCAACTTTAGAGTTCATTGGAAATTGATACAAAAAAAAAAAAAAAAAAAAAAAAAACACTGAAAATATCAAATTGTGAAAAATATTTAATTTAAATGGGATTGCGAGAAAATATTATAACAGGCATAAATTTTTCCTACTCGTTTCTATTTTTTCTGACTGATTTTAATGGTAAATTTATTAAACAAGAACCAGCTTTATGAGAAGTTAAAATTATATTTATGTATTTTTATTGATTTAAAATTTCCCCACCTACTCACGAGTCACAACCAAAATGACCTTTGCTTTATCTTCTACTAGTGTTATCTGGGCGTCGTAACTTTAGCTCATGTTGCCATTACCAAATGGGATAAACATTACAGAAAAAAAGATAAAATGAATAATTCAACCAATTTTAAATAATTATCCTTTATTATTTTTCAGCACCCGATACTGGCTTGCAACCGAAACAGCAAATTCCGCGAGTTCCTTGAAAACCACGTTCCCATAATGCGCGAGAAGTTCTGGCCGACCGTGTGGTGCTTTGAGTCGAGACTGCAGACGGTGTTTGCCAGCGTCCTCCGCCAACACACGCTCAGTGACATCGTTTACAGACGGTGAGTGTGGACACAAACACCGATAATTTCCCATATTACAATTTACAAGTACGGACAACAATGCCCGAGTAATTGCTTGACAGGATGTCTCAATATCCGACTTGTCGTTCTCAAGTGATACAGAATTGAGATCACATATTTGTATAGGCTGAATCATTTGGCTCGGCCGTTATCAAATAAATGGACTGTTTACGATTTCGACCGCCAGAGATCAAACTCGGGCATGCTTTCTGCATTATGTAACTTTATCAATGACGAGCCCTTTGATAACACTCAGGGTCATGAATCACAATTATTTGAATTATTTGATATTTTATCTCTTATCACAATAATTATCTTACCAATTTTGCAGTACAATGACTGAAAGGTCAAAGTTAAAATTTAAAATCAAAACAATTTTTTTAACTACACTTGGACCAAGATTTTTCGTGGAAATATCATTTACAGCACATTTCCGGCAAATTGAGAAATGTTATTAGAGAGTTCAATTTTATTAAAGCGCACCTCAATCACAACACACGTAGAATAATGTATTTCTCTCTTGCCCACTCTTATTTGAACTACGGAATCCCTGCTTGGGGATCCGCAAATTTAACTGCTGTGCGTAACTTGCAAGAAAAAGTGTTATATAAAATGTGTACTCGTAAACAAAAAAGTTCAGTCGATAATTTGTTCAAGTTTTGGAACATAATGCCTGTCAATAAAATTTATGATCTGAATGTACATTGCTTGAAATACTTTGACGAAAATCGTGGCGTGCCACGAATGCATCAATATGAAACGAGAATGTCCCAATTGGATCCTCTTGTTATGCCGCCTAGTGTAAACAAATATTGTGATCGCACGTTTGAATTTTCTTTTCCCAGACTGTGGAATGCTTTACCACCAAATCTAAAAAATCTTGATTCAAAAAATTCTGTTAAATTTCATATTAAAAAATGGTTTTTGTCACTTCTATAATATTAGTTGACATTTTTATCTTTGTAAAAATTCGCATGTAAAACAATGTGTATAGAACTGGATTGCTTGGCTTTTAAGTCTTGCTTTCCAGTCACATAAGACCCGGCCGATAACTCCGTTTGGAGTTGGCTGGACTTGTAACTTCATTCAAATAAATATACTTCATTAAAAAAAAAAAAAAAAACTAACCTATAAAATAAATTTAGCAATAAATGAGAAAAATGATAAAAAAAATTTTTTAAACTTCTTTTTACTTAATTTTTTAATTGAAGATGTGGATTGCAATATTAAGATGATTAAAATCTTGGTTAAAATAAATAAAATTAAATTGTTTTTCACTTTTTTTTTTATTCAATTCAATTATTTTTAATAAAGAGAATAATCTTGTTTTTTTTAGGCAAATATTACCTTTGAAGGATGGCGGAGAACTTGCTTTGGACTGGCTGGACCCAGATGATTGCTCTCTGAAAGTTCCTTTGGTTCTGGTTCTGCCAGGTCTGACCGGAAACAGCCAGGCCGAGTACATCAAGAGTCTGATGCTGGCCGCACGGGCACAGGGGTTCAGGTGTGTTGTTCTGAACAACAGAGGCCTTGGTGGTGTTGATCTCAAGGTACATCAAATTGATACATAAATTATTTCTCTAACTTATTATATTATTTTTTTCTCTATTCAGACGCCCAGAACCTATTGCGCCTCAAACTGCGAGGATCTGGCCGAAGTCATTGACCACCTGAGAGAAGCAGACTGCGCCCAAAACACACCTTTCATTGTCGTCGGAATTTCAATGGGAGGGTGCGGTTTTTCAAAATTGAGTTGGTTTCGGGACTAAAAATTTAATTTTTAATCAGACTCATGCTGGGAAACTATTTGGCTGCCTACGGAGAAGAGGCAAGGAAGAAAATTGACGCAGGGATGATCATTTCGGTGCCGTGGGATGTCTTCAAGGCTACGGAGAGTATCGAGCAATTTGGCCTGAACCGACTTCTCAACTATCACCTGGCAACTAGTCTAGTCAAAACTTTGGAAAGGTTGATATTTTCTTAGTTATTAAAGTTCAAGTCATAAAGTTTTACTCCTTCAGGGTCAAGCATCACATGCCGTGGGATGTTGAAGAAGCTTTGAAGGTATTTTTTTTCTAAATTTAAAAAAAAAATCAATATTGTTAAAAATTTCATTTCTCTAGAGTACAACCGTGCGCCAGTTTGATTCTCGATTCACATGCAAGCAATTTGGATATACCGACGTTGAAGAATATTATTCGGCCGCCACTCTCCACACCAAACTAGATCGCATTCGAGTGCCCACCCTGTGTCTCAGTGCTGCCGACGACCCATTCCAACCAATGGACGGTAGGACTATTATGCAAATTAAATTTGAAATAGGTCTGAATTAAATTTTCAGCCATTCCCGTTGATGCTGCCGACAAATCCGAACACGTTGCGATCTTGATAACTGCACGGGGAGGCCACATTGGATTCATAGACGCTCTGAAGCCGGGTGAAGATTACATGTGCAGGGTTTTTGTCCAATACGTCGAGGCTGTGACGAAGAAAGGGAGGCCTGAGGTTTAAAGGGTGGCTAAAAAAATAGTGAGATTATATAGATTTAAAAATTAAAATGATGGCCAAGATTTTGGGTTCTTGAAATAACAGGGGCTGAAACCAACAAAAGCTTTATTGAGGAGGACGTTGAACTGCATTCCAAACCATAAATTTAGAATTAAAAAAGGGGAGTCATTATTGGTTTGGAACATGCAGGGGCTATTTAACTGGAAGTTGATAATAGGATTGTGAATTCTAGGTTAGTGAAAAAAGGTTGATTTATTTAATAATTTTTGAAAATCAGATATTTTAAGTTTGTTGATCATCTGTCCGAAAAGTTTTAATGTCAGAGAATTTCTGATTTCACTCAGAATCTTACATTTAGTAATTTAATGGAAGTTCAAGTACAGAAAAGAGCTAATAACTCCATTCCCCTCGACTACTCATAATCTTTACAAAATAGCTTATTATGCCTGTAGGCTAATTATTTTAAATTTCACATTTAATATTTTTTTTTATATATTCAAATATAGGAAACCAGCGTATATTGTGAAAAAAACATTTAAGTTATTATTTAGGTGGTTTTTGCAGGCAATATAGTTCAGTGTTTTGAAAATTAGCATTCCTCTTAAGTTTCTAATTTTTATTTTGTTGACGTTTTATTGTTATAGTGCAAAACAATATATAGTTATATAGAAATAGATGAGCGCATTTCACACACTCGGTGCAACTTTTAAAAGTGCGAAAATATATCAATCAGAAGGTACAATAACTGTAGGTCGATGACAATGTTACTAAAATATAGAAGTTGCTTTAACATATAAGTGCATTTAACGCAGATCAGTAAACTAATAAACTATCAAGTCGTCGTACGTAATTGCAGGTTGACGAGAGAGAATGCTCAATTTGTGCTATCATCTTTTTCACATGGGTGCAAATCTGTGATGGTTAAAACACTCGTCATTATTGTAATAAATACAGAACCATCACTAAAATTTTGCACATATGGGTGAGACGGGAACAACAAATTTGCACAGATTAAGATCAAATTGCACAATGCACAACTTTCTCAATGTTTCCAAAGATTAAAGTCGCATTTTGTCTCACTACTGTGTTTTAAACTACTCGTCAACCTTTTGTCTATATTTCTCCTTTCCTTGTCAGTGAGAGAATTTACTATAGAGTCTGTAGAATTACTTTTTCAGAATGGGACTCGATTCTGGCCTTTCCTTGCAACACATTATGACAAGTAGATTCACATTAATTAAATATAACTCAATAAGTGAGTTTTATGACACTTGCCATTTTGAGACAAACATTGACAAAAAATATAGATTAATATTAAATTTCAATATTCCTATACTATTCAGCTTTTAGTCAAAATATTACCAACAACTATTATTTACATGAAATTAAAATCTATTGTCCATAATACCTTGTGATCCGATAATCAAGTATGTCGTATGTTTTTGTTTGATTTTATTTTATTATTAATTTTATCTTATTGCAAAATTGTTATGGATGTAAATGCCACGCCAAAAATCAGAATTCAAATTTATTTAAAAGAAATTTTTGAAAACTTGCAAATTGTGATCAACATAATTATGCATTTTATTGTTATTGTTGTTACAGAAATTATTATGTCCAACTTTACTAACTTATTACACTGTGAAGATGAACTTAAATTTCTCTTGCAGAAGAGCCTGTTTTATGTGATATAATCATATATACCTATTTAACAAGGATATTTAAAATTTGCGTACTATTAATATAATTATGCTAGATGCGAGTCATTGAGTAAGCTGAGATATTCAAATAATGTATAATTCACTTGAAGTACTACAGTGGGTAAGCAAAATTACTTCACACATCGCGATGATGAAATTGGATGAAATAAAAAATAATATTAGCAGTTGCCTTGTCTTTGTCCGTTTTGAATTTGTCTTGATTGGAATTTGTTGTAAGTTGAAATAAATTGCAGTAAATTGCCAAAAATTAAAATTTTTATGTTTTGTTTCCCTTTTGGGAAAAGCCAATATAAAAAGGAAAAAATATAATTTGAATTAAATTGTATAGTTCAGTTTTTTTAAATAAGTAATAAAAGTCAAAGATTAGAGAAATGTAAATAAAAAAGCAAAAAATTACCAGAAAAAATCGAAATGAAAAAATTTGAAACAGCTTAAAGAAAAATTAAATATTTAATTAGAAATTTCTGATTTTTTTCTGTTTTCACATACCCTGACCAAAGTTGAAGATATGCATTTTGGATTTTGATTCCGACAATCCTTTGAACAAATTTTAGAAAGAAGAAAAAAATCTCATAATTACTATTTTTAATTGGCAAAAAAAGTATGGAGTCAGTGAAATTACCATAAAATTGATTCAAATTTTATCTATTCAAAGTTTTAATTAAAAAAAAAAAATGTTATCCTTGGTACATAATTGCTTGTAAAGTACATATATAAAATTTAATGGGGCATGTGCACGGAACGTTTCGCGCGTTTCCGTGGCCGGATCATCCGTGCACGCAAGTCGGACGCTGATTGGACGGCGAATGGTGAGTTGTCGGGTGGCCTTTGGGTGGCCTCTCTTTGAACCACAAGCTGGAAATCGCCAGAGAAAAACTACTTGCCAGGCAATCATGGCTGAATCAGGCCCGAATAAAAGTGACATTACGGCGATTTTCAAGCATTTACGGAACCAACCTGCTAATAAGGTAATTAACCCACCCTCACCCTACGTTCCAGGTCGTTAAGCCGCAAAACTGATCGGTCGCCAGATGTCTTTAGAAGAAGCTGCTGGAAGTTGGTTTGTTTTCCTCTTTCGTGCAGCTGGAAAATGGAGCAGGTTTCGGGAAATTGCATTTGTACGATTTCCTTGAAAGCTTTACAGTTTAAAAAATCAGACAGTCAAGGATTATTTTAATTACTGCTTGTAAAATTATTTTAAAAGATAATTTTGTGTAGAGAAGATTTTGAAACACAACCTTCGAATAAACAAAATAAAATCGTTCGCCCCTTATAAAATTAGTGTATGTTGATAGGATGTTTGCTTGATATTAATTATCTTGAATATTTTCTTAAATTAGATTTAATTTTGTTTTTTTTCTTCCGGGGAATTCCAGTAAAAAGTTTTGTCCTTGCCAGGCTTGACATAATATTTATGAAAAAGGGTGAAACCGACTTTATCAGAGTTGACCCAGAAAAAACCTGCCAGCATGCTTGAGTAAATACTTAAGCTGATTCATACACTACTTAAAAATTATTTTGTTCTGCTCCGGTTCAATTTGCTGTGTTTTCCATTGTCATTTGGAGGCTGATTGCATCCTGATTTCAGGTGTGTTTCGATTGCAACGCCAAAAACCCAACATGGTCGAGCGTGACCTACGGCGTGTTCATCTGCATCGACTGCTCAGCTGTCCACCGTGGCCTTGGGGTGCACCTCACCTTTGTGCGGTCCACCCAGCTCGACACCAACTGGACCTGGATCCAGCTCAGGCAGATGCAGCTTGGAGGAAACGCCAATGCTGTAATTGAAAAATTTATATTTCTTTTAAAAAAATTAATAAATATAATTATTTTTTCAGAGCTCCTTCTTCCGGCAACACAATTGCTCCACTAATGACGCCCAGCAAAAGTACAACTCGAGAGCTGCCCAGCTCTACAGAGAAAAGTTGCACCAGTCGGCAATTCAAGCCATGCGAATACACGGAAATAAGGTTCGCAATCTATTTTGGTTGTATTTTTTTCCATTGGCCCAGTATTCAAAATTTAGCAAAAAGAAAAATAATTTAATTACACACTTTCGTATTTAAAAATCTAATTAATCTTCGTGGTTGTTAGATCAACCTTAAATCAACCCTGAATAAACCGGGAACATCTTCGGTGAGGCTATTCTCAAATAAACCCTTGATTGTTTTTCTTTGTTTTGCTTCCGTTTTTCCTGTCGGAAACCACAAAGTGCCAAATTATTAACCATGATTGTTGGAAAAGAAAGAGTGAACTAACAATTTTGCAATTTGTGCACACAATAGACAATATTTTGAAAAAATTCAGTCATTTTAACCTAATTTGCTCTCTGCAGGTGCATTTAGATGTTCCACACGAGCCGGTGGCGGCCAAGAAAGAGGAGGAGGCTGATTTCTTCGAGCAAAACACACAGTCCCAGTTGTTTTCCTTCAATCAGCCTACTGAAGACATTCTGTCTCCAGTTATCAATGTAAAGTTGCCTCTATGAAAAGTAGTAGTCAATTTAAAATTGTATATTTTCAGAAACCAGTGCCTAAGAAACAGACAGATGAGCGGGAGCCAAATGTGAGTGCGATTCAAAGTGGGACGGCCGCGGTCGTTCACCCTCCGGAGCCGAGGAAGTCGACGATTGGCGCTCGTAAACCGGCTGCAAAAAGTGGAGTATGTAGATCTTGTCCTGAAATGATTAAAGAATTAATTAAAATTGGCAAATCTATAGCTCGGAGCTAGGAAGGGACTCGGTGCTCAACGTGTGAAAGCAAACTTTGATGAAATCGAACGGGAAGCTCAAATGAATGATGAGATTAAGATTAAAACTGTTGAAGAGGTGAAGAAGCCAACAGAAGAGGAGGAAGAACAGCAGGTATGCAACAATATTTAAATAATCTTACATTCTGCAACTTAATTTTGATAATGACCTTACAAATTTACAAAATCTGTTGCTAAAGTCTAGCTATTTCATCTGTAGTTGTGGAACATGCTATAATATTCATGAATTCTTATTTCCAGTTGACGTCAATGAGACTGGCTTATCAAGATTTGAGTGTTAAGCAAAAAAGAGAAGAGGAAAGAGTGAAGCAGTTTGACAAAAACAAAGCGCAGCAGGTCGAGCGTCTCGGAATGGGCTTTTCTAACAGATCGTAATACCAAACAAAGGAATCACAATTATTGCCACTGACACAATTTAATTATTTTCAGAGGGATTAGTCACTCGGCCATCAGTGATATGAAGGCAATCGAGCAAGAAGGTGTTGTGGAGAAGAAAAAGTTGACGATGCCCAGCTCTCGATCCACATTCGAATCCGACTTCTTTGATGATTTCCAGTCAGGATTTTCCATGTATAAAAGCAGCGAGCCAAAGAGCACCGGCAGTGCTTGGGGAACTTTTGACGAAAGTGAGCCTGCCAGCAGTTCGAGCAGTAGCAACGGCAAACGATGGACAGAGCCTGAGCCAGTCAAACCGGCAGCTAGAAGCTCTGCCAATGCAGCCGCGTCGGAAGGCGACGCGGCTCAGAAAAAGTTTGGCAGCGCAAAAGCCATTTCTTCAGACCAATACTTCCACGATTCAGAATCCAAAGATGTAAGTTTTTGTTTATTACATTAAATTGCTGTTTTAATTTATTTGAAAGGAAATTTCTTCAAACAATTTTAACAATTTAATGGTTTTTATTTTTTTATTTTTTGAAAATATTTTCTCAAATTAAAAATTATTTTATCTGGGTTTTCTAATTTTCCAATGGTTTTCTAGTTATTTAGTAATTGTTTTCCTTTTTTTATAGTGGGAGCGAAAAACAAATTTGCAACGTTTTGAAGGCTCCTCGAGCATTTCCTCTGCAGACTACTTTGACGACGGCTCCGGCAGCAGCAGTCAGCAGAGAAGCAACAGTGGTCCGGCTTACCAATCGCCCGACTTGGAGGATGTGCGTGAGAGTGTGAGACAAGGTGTGACCAAAGTTGCTGGCAAGTTGAGCAACTTGGCCAACGGAGTGATGAATTCTTTCCAGGTTGGTTTTCATCCTTTCTTATTCTGTAAATCTGCCACTTAGCCTATTTATTAGTTCCTTTGTCTCAATTGGCTTTTTATTTCTAGAGTGGCATCATATCCAATTTGCAGGTAATTCTCTTTCCCTCTCTAGACCTTAATTTATCACATCGAGTGCGATTCTAACTTGAAATGGGGTGGGTTGTTGCAGGAGCGGTACGGCTACTAATCGGACACTCCAAGCTGCACTGCATTTCAAGCTGCCTGCCTTTACTGTGAAAATATTTAGTTTCGAGATCATTCGCCACCGTACTCTGCATTGGAAAAAAATATACATATGATCTTTATTTAATACCAAGGACTTGCTAGGCACACAGTTGTTCCGTTTCCAAATTATATCTCTAAAGAATATTTATAACTCTCTCGTGATTAATTCACATTGACTATTTTGTCTGCACATTGTTTAGTTTGATTACTATAAAGTTGATGCTGTTTTTGTAATACCGGGTAAAATTAAATTGGAAGAATAAAAGCTACAGATTTTTAAAGTGAAAATTATATTCATTTACTTAATCAGTTTCAAATCTAACCTAATGTCAGATTGCGGCAGATTATACTAAATTTTTTCATTGCGTTTCATGTTTGAAAACTTTGAAAATTGAAAATTTTAGTGATGTGGCGCTTGTCACGAATATGTGGCACAATTTATCAAAAGTTGTTTCCTACCATCAAAAAAGCTCCTAGCACAGCAGATTGTTTTGGATTTTTCTCGTATGTGGAAATATGGAGTGAAATTGACACCCAAATGAAAAGTTTCAATGCCTTGAGGTAATTATACTAAAATATTATGGAATTTTTTAGTGTCTTACATTAAAATCTTTTTGTATTTTGTCTTTTGTCTTCAGTAAAAATATTTTTATTATTTAAATTATTCATAGAGAAAAGATTTTTAACAAAAATATTTTATTTTATGAAGAGGATTTTTTGTGCTTTTGATAAGCATCATCTTCTACATTGATGAGTCAAGAGGCAGGGGGCTGTGGGTTCCCCGCATGGGAATGATGCGCGTGCTGCGGCGCCCAAACAACCCCTTCCACTTGACCATAGAGCCGCCTATTTTGCTCACTAGAAAAAGGCTGCTCGACTCGAAGTCATCTGAAGAGTCGTCCGAAAACACGGACGACGACGACTCGCCGGACACGCTTGAGTACAGCGACTACTGGGAGGATCTAAAAGGTGATTTCAAAGATGGGAATGACGATCATTACGATTCGAACAACGCGCTGGAAGATTTCAGCTCGGGCGAAGATCCGGTCATCACTTTACCTGATCGTCAAGAGTTTTTTTCTTGAATCTTTCAATTTTTTAATAAATAAAAATGAATTAGAAATATTTATTTGACCAACTTAAATGAATAAAAAAAATAAAAAGAATGGAAAAAAAATCATTCATGGTTATTTGCTCTTTTTAGTTCAAATTCTTTTCTTTAGAAAAATAATATAATGAGTGATATAATAAAATAAATGCTTTTTTAAAAAGAAATTTAATTTATTTTAAACAGATTTCAATCTCAAAATACTTAATTCCATGATGTAAAAAATTTTTAGTTAACTTTTTTCATATTCCCGGTGTTGGTGAATAAAGTGGTAGTAATTTGATTGGCCACCGCTAGGTGGTATTTTTGTCGGATATTTGTATTAAATTTGTATCATCTGTAAAAACTTCGAAACAATAATAATGATAACTAATAAGTATAATATCATGGAAAACAGAGATGACTACTCTTTATAAACGTGGGATTGAGTACATTTTCTATCATGTTTTGCAAAGTGGCAATGAACTTCGAAGATGAATCTAATTTTGTTGACGGAGAACTCATATTATGGTCAGTAAAAAAGTGCATCGAATGACTCTGTTTATGGACATTGGACTTATATATTTTTAATTCTTATAAGTGCGGCAATAAATTTTTCAAATTTTGCATGCTTATATATTTCAATGTTAATTTCTTTATTAACGCTTTTACTTTTGCCGTTTTGTCTTATTTTCGCGAAAAGTCACAAAAATCCGATTGTTGCCGTGAATTTGGAAATTTGACAAATAACGGTTTTTGCACGCAACAATCATCACTCTGTTTTAAATTTCAAACACTTTCCAGGAAGAATCCAGCCATTCCACAGTGATCTACAAAATAAAAGGAAAATGCTTTCGGCCTGCAATAAAATGCTGTTCAATGTGCCCCGATGCGCTGCCAGACATCTTTTGTGCCACATAGACGACCAGGAAAAACTTTAGAAAGAGCTGGATAGCCTTCCTGAATCAATCGCTCTCCTCTTGGTCGTGGAGAACACAGAAGATGCTGCCAACAACGTGAACTTCTTGGCTGGTATGAATTCAAATTTAGTAAAGAAACAGAAAATTAATCGAAACCACTTTAGGCAGAGAAGATCTCATCGGACAGGTGAAGAGCCTGGTTGCAGAACGAGCACAAAGTGATGTGCATTTTTTCGACTACATGGACAATAAATCAACTGCTAAACTGGATTACCTGGAAGAGGCCCTGCTGGTGATGATTTCACGAGGGTTTGCCAAGCACCTCCCGATCCCCGCAAAGTTCCTAATTTTGACGCTTAATGGCAAAGGTCCTCTTGCCAACGACAGTAAGACTATTAAGAATTTTACTTTTTGTTATATTTTGAACGTTGTAAAAATTATTTTTAGCGAACCGGGAGTTGCAACCTAAACTGCAGCAGGGCTTACCACGTTTGAGCAGACTAGCTTGGACTTCATGACGATGGAAGAGAGATTTCCACCGAAAGATTGATCAGCTGAAGAAGGACTATGCAGCCTTTGAAAATGAGAAGATCCAGTTTGATTCCGAGATCTTATAGAAGTGAAGAAAGCTGGATGAAGAAAAGGTCAATGCCTCATTGAGTCAACTTGCCTTCCAGTAAAGATTAGGCCTTTGTCTCAATTGGATATGAGTGAGAGGATCAAGACAAGTGAGCTATTCTTTTAAATAAAATTGAATTTCAAATCTTAATGTGAATTCTCTTTTTGCCGTAATTTAGCCAGACACTTATTTTCGGAAATTTTTACATTCATTAAAAAGTCCTTAAATTACAAGATTGAAATAAGAAAAAAAGGAGATTGAAATTATGCGTCATGCAAAAGACGTTATTTGCCTGTGATTGAATTCTAACCAGCTGAGTAATTGCTTGTGACTTGTGATCGCAGAATTTTTGCAAGTCTGCCCATCATTTAGATTTCCTTTCCAAAAAAATATTTTGCATGCAGGTACTATTTTGCTGAAGAATAAAAATTACAATAATTTAATAATAGTTCTGTCAGTTCTCAGTAAAAAATTTCTTTTCAAATTTATTTTATTATTTAAAAATACACATAAATTCCATTAAAATAAAATAGCTTCTCGAAGTCATTTTGGACAAGATTTTTGTTCTCAATTTTTGTCAATCTCCGGAGCCAACCAACGACTGCCTGTTCCAACCCCGTCTGTTGGTCATCACTTTTATTCTGCGCCCGTTGATTATAGTTGCTGTGGTCCTCCGAAAGGAATACACCGACGGAGTCGGGGTTGTGTAACTTGTCACTGGCTCGCCCATCTCATTCGTGTAAACGAACGTTGAGGCGCTTCTGGCCCCTTCTGTGGAGAAGTCAACCTCGCCAGGATTCCCTTTGAAACAACAAAGTGAGTACTTAATAGTTTTGATCTCCCTTTAAAATTAAACTTGGATAACATTTAAAACCGGATTTTCAATATTTCTGTCTCATGGAAATTTTACTTTCTTCTGAAATAATTATTATATTTCAGTAAATTTTATAAATTAATTTTGCATTTATAATTTAAATCTATTAATTGAAAAAATATACAATGAATGGTTTTTTAGTCTACCATAGTTAAATTAAATAATAACAATTAAATGCAAAAAAATAGTTTTAAATTACAAGGCATTACATCAAAAAATATCTAGCAATTTGAGAAATCTAACGCAAAGGCAGACTGGAAGTTCTGATTAATCGATTCATGAATTAGGAGAGGAGATTTGAAAAATCTTTTCTACCTCCTTCACCAGGGTTGTTGCCGTCATTTTCGTTTTTTCTCGGAGTGTCCCCATCGTTGCCCCCTTGTTGCCCCTCGCTGTTTGGAGCTCCGTCCTCCGCCGGTTCAGCCCCAGATGCCGGATTTTCCCCACCTGGTGCGGCTTCACCTGTTTTACCTTCTTCATTCCCTGGTGTTTCTCCTTCGGAGGAAGGAACGATCTCCTGCAGAGGGTCTCGATTTGCTTCCTCTTGAGCTGGAGGTGGCGTATCAGAGGGCGGACCCTGTTCTCCAGCTAGATCTGGCGATCTCTCTTCTGGTTGTGCAGAAACACCGTCCTCTCCTGGAGTCACTGGGGCTCCGTCTTTGGCAGGAGCCTCACGTTCCTCTCCAGATGCAACATGTTCATCGGCCGGATCGTCTTTTACTCTGTATTTCGAGACGGGCTTCTTGATGTACTTAAAACGCCCATTGCTATTTGCTGCATCTACGAATTTTGTTGCTATTATAGTTGAAATCAAGAGAGTCTAAAAATCAAAAAAGTTATTAGAAATAATAGATAATTATGTCATTTATTGAGGATGGTTTAGAAAAGTTAAATTTGTGTTATCTTAAAACACTATAATGATATAATTATTAAATATATAGGATGTGAATTTTTAATTAAAAAATAAATAATTCAAATTTATGGTAGTCTTCATATGATTAATTGATCCGATAATAGGTCAAATAATAGTTTTTCCTTAAATTCTCGGTAATTAAGTTATAAAAAATGATCAATGTTGACATTTTACTTGATTGTTTTAGAAAAAAATAATATCTTACCAGAATCGAAACTTTCATTGCAACGCAGAACGCAGACTTTCCGATACCATATTTTCCTCTGCCATCATAGATTTGCGCAAACCAGCAGCCGGAAAACATTTTTGACGCGCGACGACGTCACAGGATATTGCCAAAGCATGAGGACCAAAATGGCCTCAAACTCGATGGCGAACGTCAGACCTTGGTCGTTCGTTCATTGCCACTCGACAACCAATGATAAATAATACACTGCTGTAAATTTATTTAACTCTAATCAAAGTGGACAATGCGATACAATTGCACCTTAATTTAGTTAATTTTACAGCTTGCATTTGTTCCGTAAAAAGGTCCAATAAATAAGAGAATATTTTATCACAAAATTTATTTTCCACATTTTTATTCCATCACTAGTTTTTATACAAAAATTAAACTTTTCTAAATGTTTTACCAAAATTAAACCTAGTCGCCATTTTTTCCGATTCCGATGCGATTCCACTTTGCATCAAATTTCAAAGCGGACAATGCACCATTATTGCTTGATTGTTGAGAGTTTGACCTTCGATTGCCGCCAACATTTGGCTGCCTCGTGTCGGAACCTCCATATTTGCGCCGATCTGTGCGCCTGTTGTTGCTATATATGGACTTCAAAGTTGATTTTCCGTTCCAAGGGGTGGTCGAAGTTGACGAACGGGTTCGACCATTGACTTCAGGGCCATAGTCAGGTTGCTCTGTCAAGAAGGGGTTTTCTCCGTCTGGTACTTGAGGATAGTCTTGCGGTGTTATTTCGCCTTCGCCCCCAGGGTAAAAGTTCGTCGGGGAAGGCTGCTGTGGATAAGTGACCTCGCCACCCCCCATGTCCCAATTTTGGGCCATGTTCTGTACTCCCTCTGTGGACGCTACCGCTGGGTCTGGTATAACCTCTTGAAAAAGTGCTGGTGGCACCAAAGCTAAAGCTAGTGATGTCAAAACAATTTGTATCCAAGGCTGCTAGAAAATGGTTTAATGTTTTCAAAAAATTAATTTAATTTTAAATTGCTTAAACCTTCATTCTGGAAAATTTGTAGAATTTTCTGCCAATATATTGTCAAACGTTTTTTCGTGGTAGCTTCAAATTTTTTCAGTTCGGCCTCTCTCGTGTTGTGATTTGACTCTGAATTGCCATGGCAAATGATGGAGCAAAATCCTGATTCTGCGCACAGGCCGGTGCGTGCGATTTTTCCGGATTTTTCATTTCCATTTTCAGAAGCACCGCAAAAACTATTTTGCAGTTTATTCACCGTTAGAAACAAATTAATTCTGTATATGATATTGTGTATTCTTTTTTAATCATTTTAACTAATTTAATTATCATTCAAAAAGCAACAATTTTTCTAACTAAAAATTAATCAATATAAGTGAATAAGAATATAAGTTAATTAATACATTTTCAATATTGGCATTCTCTTCTAAAATTTTTATTAAAAATAAAAAATTGTGAAATTACCTGCGATTTTATAAATTAGGTTTTTTTTCAATACTGGATTTATGCAAACTACTGCTCACAGAGGTGGAGCCGGTTGCATACCTTGCATCTAAAAAGGCGCTTGATTTTGGAATGCAATAAAATATTATTTAAGCATTTTTTACTTAAATAAATAAATTTATTAAAATTTCTTTAGCATATTGGAAATTTTTGTGTTTTTTTAACATCACATTTTGAATGTTTTTCTTGAGCTATAAATTCATTGGATTGAGTTTAATAATACATAATAATATCACTAATAAATAAAATAACAAAGTTTATTCTTTGTTCTTCTGTGTGGGGCACTTGTAGATTTGGCAAGCGTCTGTTCTGATTGCTTTGAATAGTTCCTTGACGCCGAGCAGCTCACTTAGTGCGTCAGGAGTGCTGAAAATTTTGTTAAGATTTTTTTAAACAAATAAAATATTAAAAGTCAATCTTACTCATTGACCACGCTCCAGAACCCTCTCTGCACAGAGTTGGCGTTAGCCTCTCGTCCGAGTCTGGCGATTTCGCAGAACAAATTGGCCTCGCAGTCGGCGTCTTCCAATGCCCTGAGGCCGCCTCGACTTTCAATCATGTCCAAAACGGGGAAGCTCTCAATGACAGGACCCTCTTCAGTTGAACGCTGCTTTTGGAATGTTCCCAAAGGCTTCACACTTCTGGAAAAACACAAATAAAAATTGATAAGATCAGCCTGAACTTAAATCATTAAAAAAGAAATTATGTTTAAAAAAAAGCTTACACACTGAAAATATATTTTGCTTAAAGCCCATTAAAATATTGATTTTAATTTCCTCCTTAATTTTCATGAGATGATGGTGAGTTTTAGTAGGAATAATTGATATTTATCTTTAAGATTTGAGGGGATATTAACAAAATCCCAAGTATTCTTAACTTTAAAAAATTTAGTTCTCCTTATTTTGAATATGATTTCAAATATCATCTATCTACAAAATATTGCTAAAATTATATGTATAAAAAATTATTTATTCAAAAATAATTGAGCCTTTTGTTTTGCTAAAAAAAAAATGGAATATTTCTTTTTTTAATTTTAGTGTTAAATTAATATTTTACTGTGTTGCGTTGATGTTGACAACATTTGGTGGCAGGGCAGCGAGAAAGAGACCAATGGGGATGGCAGCCGTCAGCACTCTGATGATTTTTCTCCACGGGCTGTTGTGGCTCAGACCACTGTGAAGAAGCCGTTTGGATTTTGAGTTTCAATTAAAATATCTTTTGAACTACTTACTTATGGACGTCAAATTTTCCGTGGCCAAACTTGTGGGGCGAGATGTAGGCGGTTTTTCCACCGTAATGGTAGGGTGGCTCGTTGTAGGTGGCTGCGTGGAAGGTGCTGGCCGGCGCCGCCTCTTCATAGTTGTACGGGTAATTGGCCGAAGCCGCGGCAGCGGCGCCGCCGGAGGAGCCGTCAAACTTCATGGGCTTGTAAACGGTTTTCATCGGGGCCGACGAAACGCCGCCGGACGTGCCGTAGGGACTCATCACTTTTTCCTCGGCGGCTTGTTGTTGCTGGTCTTCGAATTTGACTAATGAGCCTGATGTTGGCCGGGCGTCGTTTCGAACTGCCCCGGACGCGACCAGCGTCATCAGACCCCAAAACGAAAGTATTCTGATGTGCTGAAAATTAATTTTATTAGTTAAATTGCATAACTTGTAATAATAATTTAATAATTTTGCTACATTAAGTAATTAAGTTTTTTTTAAATATATTAAGAAAAAATTAAGATTTTTTTATGTATAACTTAATTTTTATGAAGTTTCATTTATAACCAACAATTTAATTTGTTTATTTTATCACAATCAACTAGAAGGCAAAAAGTCGCATGATAAACCAAATACATATATTCTATTAAAAAATAAATATTACTTCAATAACAGCGTTTTTTCGTTCTTGAATTATCATTGCATTCCAGTTGCAGCGTCTCCAGTTGTGAAAACTTATATATACATGTAATAAAAATTAAATTCTGATTTGTGTTTACTTGAATTTGAAATAGATTTATTTAAATAATTGTGCTTAGTAAACCACACAAATTTGAACTTTCAAAAAAGCTTCACAACCATTACATTCGGAGAAAAACAAATATGGAAAAACGTTAATAAATAATCTAATAAATTGAATTAAACAAAAAATTCTTCCGTAAGGATGTCATATCAGGATTATATTTATACCAACAATTGAAATAAAAATTTATATGATAATATAACAATAAACATTTAGAGAGACGCGTATATCAAGATGCGTGCACTTACCTTCAACATTCTGTGAGTTGTGTCACGGTTTGTGCGTTGCCATCGTTTAAATACTTTTGAGCCTCGTTGGACGCATCTTCCTCGTATGTGCGTTACGGCCGACGGTCCTTAATTTTCGCTGCTCACACAAATCGTACTTCATTGTTCTCGGGTGCTGAGCAATTCACTCTCGAACCAACTCTCTCCCGCGACAGTGCACATTGTGGAGCGCGTTTGTCGCCAAGCGCCGCTCTTAATTACCTTTTTGATGTATTATTATTTTTTTTTTAAATTGTTAAATTCAGGTGTAAGCACGCAGTTCGGCCATGAATGCTCTCTCTATGGAATTGAACCGTGTGTGCGCGCCAAACGCGTTTAACCATTCGTCGCGAGCCCGTTGTTATAAAAGTGGCTATTGTTTGAACGATGCGTGTTTTCACTTTTAAATGGGAGACAAGATTTTAAAGTTTGGCGAACTGAATAATGGCTCATAAATTTTCAGGGAAATAAATGTCAAGATCAATTAAAGTTTGCAAGATTTCAGATTTCTTCCTTTAGTTGAATGCTTAGATAAAAACTGAATATAATATTTGAAATATTCCTGCTTATTTTCTTCATTCTTCATGATATTTTAAATTCAGGAATTCAGGTATTGATAAAAAAAATTAGTCAGATTATTATTAGTTTTTTTAAATCAATTTTTATTACAATTTTGCAATAATTAATTCACCAGTCGTTTGGAATGATAGGCAGTATAGTGGGATCCAGCAGGTCATCGCAACCTTCCTCCGACGAGCCACCGCTGCCCTCTTCTAGAATTTTTTCTTCAGACGAATCGGCTTTTATTGTGTTTTTTGGATTTTTGCAAGGCTTTTTTGTTGGATGTATTGGATGTGTCGGATGCGTAGGATGGACTGGGTGCGTCGGTTTCACTTTGTCGGTGGTGGTCGTGGCCGGCTGAGTGGTTGTTGTCGTAGGCCTCGTGGTTGTTGTCGTTGGCCTCGTGGTTGACGGAATGATCATGATGTGTGTAGTGGCGCCGGTTTCTTCTAATGGGGAGGACGTCGTCGTCTTTTCGTTTTTCTTTGTCGATGTTGTAGCTTCGGTGGTCAAACTGGTTGAAGTTGCAGTTGTCTTGTCTTGTCCTGGAGTTGTCGGTTTGCTTGGAGTTGACTGGACAGTGGAGCTAGACGTTAAAACAGTCGAAGCAGGTGTGCTTTTTAACGTGGTTGAAAAACTGGTCGTTTGCTGGACAGTCGTGCTAGATGGTTTATTTTTCTTCGTTGTTATTTCGGTTGTTGAAGATTCTGTTGTCTTTTTGTCTTGGCCAGGAGTTGTTGGTTTGCTCGGAGTTGACTGCGAAGATTTCGTAGTTGAAGGAATCATTGTTGAGGTCGTTTGCTGGACAGTGGTGCTTGCAACGGTTGTTGAAGTAGGTGCTGTGCTTTTAACCGTTGTAGAAATGATAGTTGTAGTTGAAGCTGGTGATGTTGTTGGCTTCAAACTCGTTTGCTGTACAGTAGTTGATGGTAAAACAGTTGTTGTCTTCTCATTTTTCTTCGTAGTTGTAGCTTCAGTGGTTGAAGTTTCTGTGGTCTTTTTGTCTTGTCCAGGAGTAGTTGGTTTGCTCGGAGTTGACTGAGAAGTTGGAGTGCTTTGTTGCTGAGTGGTGCTTGGTGATGCAACGGTTGAAGAAGGAGTGCTTTTTACTGTCGTTGAAATAATGGTGGTGGTTGAAGATATCGCTGGTGGTTTCGCACTTGTTTGCTGGACAGTGGTGGGCTTGCTCGGAGTTGACTGTGAAGTTTGAGTACTACTTTGTTGTTGTACAGTGGTGATAGGCGACGAAACTGTTGACGTAGGTGTATTTTTTACCGTAGTTGAAGATACCGCTGGTGACGTTGTTGGCTTCAAACTCGTTTTCTGGACAGTGGAGCTAGTTGTTAAAACTGTTGAGGTAATTATAGGTTTCGTTGTTGTTGAAAAATAAGTCGTAGTTGATGAGGCGGTTGAAGGTCTTCCAGTTGTTAATGTGACAGTAGAGCTGCTTTGAGTAGGTCGTGCAGAAGTTGTTAAGGTCGGCTTTGTGGTTGGCCTCATTGTGGTTGTCTCTTTTTCGTCAACCTCCTCTGATGAGGATGATGAGGAGTCGTCACTGTTTTCTATGGAATTTCTTCGACCGTGAAATATTTTTGCTAGGTGGCGTAGGTTTGATTCACGCTTTTTCCTGCCAACATTGTCTGAAGAAGGCCTGTAAAAACAAATTAATTATAATTCCAGAAAAATTTTTCCAATTAAAATTTATTATATTTTTACCGCCATAGCAATTCAATTATTTTTTTAACTCACCAGATTTGTTCATTCTCAGACTCAATTGGCAGACTTAGCAATTTCCTTCCCAATTTTGTTTCTGCTTGTTTTGTTTCTAAATCAAATAAATTTATCTTTGAAAATATATTAGCTATTTTTATTAAGTTATTTTACCAGGGGCTTTGGTAGAAGTTGTCACTTTATTTATTGGTGGACTCTCTTTTGGTATCTCAATAAATCCCTCGTCTGTGGGAAAATATTCCTCCGGTTCAACAACATCTTTGACCCACGTACCAGTTTCATTCCAAAATTTAAAATCCCATCCCAAGCGTCCTATTTATTTAAAATAATCATTTAGAATTTTCAAATAAGCGTGTGCGAGTTATTTTTTATTTTTTTCTTTATCTCACCTGGTTCAGGTAAAGCAGCTGGAAGAGTGCTGGGTAGAAGATCACAAATGATGACAGTCAAGGCGAAAATCAATTTTTGTTCCATTGTAATTTTTTTCTTAAAAATTCGAGTTTTTAAGTGTGAAGAAAAAAATTGAGCTTCCCACTTGCTTCAGTAGTTAGAAGTAAAGTGAGGCAGAATCTTGTGGACGAGATGTGTTTGAGGAAGCAAATAAGAATCCTCTCGCGCGTCAAGTCGTATCTCTTATGAAGGAAAATATTAACATAAAGATGCTATTATAATTAGGGTTGCCGGCGAGATAACGCAACAAACAAACACGTTTTTGTGGATTACAATTATAATGCATCCTATGTAACACGGGGTTCATTTGTTTGTATTTGACCCGGCGTTGAACGTCATTTCAAGCGTAATAAGATTAAAAAATTCTTCTCCTTGTTTGTATTTGACACTTCTTGGTTCGCTTGTACTAATACGGTGTATCAAAGTGCGTGTTTCTCTGACTTCAATTTTTTATAAGTAAACTTATAAATTTTAGTTTACGTGTGAAATTAAGAGTGTGATAAAAGACTATAATATAAAGCAGGCATTTCTCGACAACTGGTTTATATTCTTATTTTTATTTTGCTATTAAATATATATAATTTCCAGATGTTATTTATTGTATAAATAATTTATTAAATTTTTACAGATTTTAAGACAATAAGCCGCAATATGCGACAAATTTAGTCAAAATATCCTAAATATGGCAACTGAAAAGTTGGAATTTGCTATAGTAGAATAATATACATATATTTTTTTTTAAACTGATGCTTCAATAAAGCACAAAATAACTTTTTTATGTATTGTGTAAAAGTAAAAAACTTTAATAAGTTATATTGAAATGGTTTAAATTTTAATTAATTATTAATTGCTGTTTTTTTGTGCACATTTTTACAATCATTATTCAATTATTGAAATCAATTTTTATTTTTAAATTAATGTTGTTGGTCAAAATTGCACCACTTCTAGCAAGAATTTTGCTAAAATTTCCAAGATCAAAAAGACTCCATCCGCCGCAGTGATTGTTAAAAGCAAGTTATATAAATTAAAAAAAAACTGAAATTTTTTATATTTATTAACTGCCGTAAAAGCGCTCTTAAATTGGGTGTTGATTGAAAATAAAGAATATTTTAACTGCTGCATTTAAATTTATTTGACAACAAAACATCACAAGGGAGCGCTAAAGATTCTTACAATTTAATTCCATAGAAGTAGACAGTGAAACACGCAGAGTAGCCCATCAACAAGGTTGACGGGCGAGCCCGAGCTCCTAAATTTAAGATTAAAAAAAAAATGCATGGTGCTCACAATCAATAGCGCACTCAAATCTAAAAATGTGAGCAACCTGAGCCCCAGCCCTTGTGGTGCTAAAAGAGCTGCCAATGAACCCACAGATCACAATCATAGATAAAGTTTTTAAAGAATTCAACAAACTTTTTTAGGAACATATTACAATTTTCAGTCTTGATCAGATTAAAGTTTGTTTTCCCATCTGCATTTTAATAAGCAGTACATCGATCAACATACTACAATAATAAGTATAGCAATAAATAAAAACTCCAATTGATAAACAAAATAATATAATTTAGAAATACTTTTGTGCAAAATTTGAAGCTATCATTTCACACATTAATGTCCAAATTTCCAATAAATTTTAAATTTACCAATCGTTCGGAATAATAATTGGAAGAACCGTAGGTTCGTGCAAGCAATCGTCTTCGCTCGGCGCGCCTCCACCGCTGCCCTCTAAAATTTTCTCATCGGCCAAATCTTCTTTTTTCTCCTTTGGGTTTTTGCAAGGTTTTGAGGGTTCTGTTGGATTTGCAGGTCGGGCAGGTTCTTCTGATGTGGAAATTTCGGTTGTGGAAGAAGTAGTCGTGCTCGGCTCTTTTGTAGTCGTTCTGGATGGAATGAACATGATGTGTGTGTTTGCTCCGCCTGTCCCGATCGAGAGTGATGTTGATGAAAACGACGACGTATTTACCTTTTTGTCCGTCAACGTGGTGGCATCGGTGGTTGTGGGCAATTTGACCTGTCCAAGAGCGACTGGCTTGATTGAAGTTGACCGAATACGTCTTCGCAGTAATTGTTTACGAGAAGAGGTTGGTGGTTTGAAAATTTTAGCAACGGTCTTTTTTGCATTATTCTTATTGTTCTTCAATGACGAGGTCTCGCCGCTAGTTTTTTTAAAATGACTGCGATAATAAAAATTAACTTCTTTGTGGCGTTGCTTAATTGCATCAAGTGGTGTTCTTCTCAGTGTTCTTGGCGGCCTGTGCAACCAAAATTAAATAGATTTTTTTTTTTTAATTTTCCTATAATTTACCATTTATTGTCGCTGTCGGGCTCATCGTCAATAGATAGGCCAAGCAATTTTCTTCCCAATTTTATTTCTGTAATTTATTTATTAAAATTAAGATTAACTCTTCCTAAGAGTGTTGTTAATTGTTTTAGTGTGTGTAAGTTTTATTTTAATAAAAAAAAAATTTGTTTGAAGAAGTTGACACTCGAGGAAATGAATATGGATATGAAGGGATCGGGAGTTTCCTCTTAGTAAAAATTGTTTAGAGTAGAGCCCTTTGTAATTTTTACTACGAGGAAAAGCCCGATCTCTTCATTTTCCAGCAAAAAGAAATTAATGTAAATAAAAATAATTTTTTAGTTTTAAAATTTATGACAACTTTAATGGTACAATATATTACCAGGAGCTTTGGTTGTGGTGCTAGTGAGTGTGATCACTTTTGGTGCCACACTCTCTTTTGGCATCTCAATAAATCCCTCATCTTCAGGGAAATATTCCTCAGGTTCAGCTACATCTTTGACCCAAATGCCAGTTTCAGTAAAAAATTTCACATCAGATCCCATTTCTCCTAATAAAATTTATTAAAAAAAAAAATTAAATCTGCAATTTTTTTCTTCTAAATTTTAAATTTAATTTACCTGGAGATAGCGCGGGCACTGCCGCTTGAAGAGTGTTGGGTAGAAAATCAGAGATGATGACAGTCATCGTGAAGAGCAGTTTTTGTACCATTATAATTTTTCAAAAATTCAGACCAGAAGATTTAAGAGATCACCGACCACTTGCTTCAGTTCTCGGAAGACAAGTGAGACAAAATCTGTCGGATTTTGACCATTTTGTTCTCATGTACGTCAACAGCAACATTATGTCGCATGTTGTGAAGGAAAATATTAGCCTACATGAATTCAAGTTCAAAAACACTTTTGTAACTGAAGTTGCCGCTGAGATAACATGCAAACAGGTTTAAGTAAATTTTATTATTTAAAAACACGCGTGGAATAACTAATCCCTGGATAAATATCATAAATCACATTTCAAATGCTTAAAATCTAGACTACTCTGCAAATTTGTTTGAAGAAGTTGACACTCGAGGAGATGATCATGGAAATGAAGAGATCGGGCTTTTCCTCGTTGCAAAAAATTGTTTTTATTCAAAAACAAACGGCTCTACCAGTTTCGGTCACGGTCTGCGACCCTATTTCATGAGCAAGAAAAAATACAAAAAATCAGCAATTTGAAATAAGTTTTGAATAAAAACAATTTTTTGCAACGAGGAAAAGCCCGATCTCTTCATTTCCTACTCTGCAAATGTTATGGAATTTAGATTTTTTATGTTTTTCTTAAAAATTGATTAAAAAACGGTCAAATTAATTCTGAACTGATAAAGCGGTGTCATTTATAGACTAGATTCTATAAATTATTCCAGAATTTAATTATATATTGATTTCATATTTGCATTTTGATAGTGAATTTTATTCTAACCAATCGTCTTTCTTGGAAAATTTTTAAAAGGAAAAATATAAACGGATAAAAATGTATTCCAGAAACAACTCTAATTATTAAGTGCATTAGAGTTGGATGATTTTTATTTATAGATTACAAGTTTCTAATTAACTTCATAAAAATAAAAATGCACGAATGGTAGTGTTTTTTAGCTCAAAACACTGGTATTTTTTCTTTCATTAAATTTTCAACATGTATATTTATGTATTCAATACAAAATTTAATATGGAATATTAAAATAAAAAAGACACATTCAAAAGATTTGTCTTTATTTCTTTCATGAGAATACTTCACAAGTGATGCACTATGTATTTTTTATTCAATATGTTTAAATGTGTGTCAGAAATGTTGACCAAACAAGCACTTAGCCCTCCACACAATGATTTTTGCTTGCAAGCAACAGCTGCTTCGAATTTTTTTGTGTATTTTTATTTAATGACACAACTACAGATGAAAAAGGACGTTTCATTAGCACAAACTTCAGGTAGTGGAAACAATTTAGCAGCAGTCCCTCTACAGCCCATTAAGTTTTTTTAGTACAGTAGTTTGTGATTTTGCTTCTTAATAATTCATCTCAAAAGAGAGTCAGCTACAAGTAAGTTAACGTTATATTTGGTTACTAATAAATATCTTGTGGTCTTTAATTTAATAATACACGATGCAGCGCGCAAATTAATGTAGCGATAAAAAATCGTTTCGGAATCATTTCCATTCCTGACATGCTGCTAATATGAAAAGAAGCAACTTGTTAAAAAAAAAATCACCGTGTGTTAATTAGCACTAAACTGTGACTGAGTTCACTCAGCGTTCGAGCGGGGGTATGAGATTGATGCTTCAGCACAACATCCATTGCATGATGCTGTTGTCGTGGCCGCCGGCCGAGATGAGCCGCGAGTCTTCGTGCAGGAAGCGCACGGCCGTCACGTGGCTGCTGTGGCCGCTGTAAGTGTGGCACAAGGACTGAAACGCAACAAATTGAATCATCATTAGTAAATAGTTAAAAAATAAAAATTCCTCCTAAAAAAAAATTACTTTTATGGCTTAAATATTTTTTAAAAAGGTCCCAAGGAAGGTTTTTTTTAAATAAAAAAGATTGAAAAGGCAAAGATTATTATCATGTTATTGTATTAGAATTTATTAAATTAAATTCTTATTTATAAAAAGGATAATATAATTCTAAAATGTTTGTCATCCCTATTTTGAAGAAATCTTTAATTTTATGGCCAAATTGGAGACATTAATAAAAAAAAATTGATGATTTTCCGCATTTTTTTTCTGCATGAAGTAGAATTAATATGATATGTGTTAGTTTGGTAAGCAAATAAAAAATAATGTAATTAAGTTTATTTAGCGCTTATTAATTCTCTTTAAAGATTTGTCTTGTGCTTGAATAATTTAAAATTAAACCTGTGCCAATTTTTAATGGAAATTTGTAAAAATAAGCAAAATCTACAGGTTAAATAAGCCAAATTTTATATTTTATTATAAATTTTAATGTTGAACCTAAAAAATTCAAATCCCATCAAGCCAAGATGAAATAATAATTAAACTTACTCTTGGCTGGCAGGCAGGGTAGGCGTAGAGTTTGACTTTGCCAAAGTCGTCACCCGTCGCGAGCAGTTTTCTGTTGTGGGACCGTTCGCAGCTGTTGACGTCCGTGCCGTCGGCATTTTCAGGCCAAACGCCCAGTGTGTTGAAGTTGAGGGGACAACTCAGGGTCGCCCAGGCCACGTTGCGCATCTGAGTGCTCTGGGGCACCTGTCTGCAGGTACTTGCGTTCCCTATTTCAAAAAATTAGATTTTCGATTGAAATTAATTTCATTAAACTTACAGTAAAGTAATTCGTAGTCTCCAGAGTTGCTCTGAATGAAGTTGCCATCCACAGACCAGTCAAGGTGGGTGATGAAACTAGAGTGGCCCTGGAGAGGAATTTTTAAATAATTAATTTTGCAGTAAAATTTCTTGGATAATTAATTTTTAATAAATTAAATCCTGGATCAAAACCGTGCGTCAAAATAATAATTAATAATTAAACAAAACTAACAACATAGTTAACAACTCAACCGATTTTTATCTATTGGAATACTCAATTAGTGCGAAACCAAATCTACAACAACACAAAATCAGTACCACAAAAAGCACTCTCGACATACCAGCAACGCAAGCAGAGAGGCGCTTCTCTTGCGCTTTCGTTCAGGCTGATGGAATGAGAAAGATTGAACATCCAATTATTAATCACATTTTTTTTTGTAGCATAATTTTGATTAAATTTACGGTGAATTTTCCAACAATTTTAAGTGACTTTGTGCGCTTTTTTCGTGAAACTGTGAGAAATTGAACCTTGATAATATACGTGAACCCATTTGTACACCATTGAAGTTTGATGATGAATGATTGGCGAAGCTAGAGAAAAGTTTCACTTACCACACAGCGGCCGATGCGCTCGAATTTTTTGTACTGCTCGCTGGCTTGATAAACATAAATATTGTTGTCCCTCGAGCCAAGAGCGCATAAGTTGCCGTCAGGGGAAAATTTAATGACCTAGAAATAGATGAAAAATTTAATAGAAAAAAATTTTTGGAAAGGGATGAAAATTTTGAAAAGCATGAAAACGTCGTGAAACGGCTTCTTATTTTAGTGATTATTACCAATGGAACCAAAAATTAAATTTCATGAAAATATTATAAAATAATGTATAGGCATGTTACTATACTATTTTTATAGTTTTTTTTTAGAATTATTTGTATTTACAATTTTATCAAATGAGAACATTTTTTCAAAACATGTTTTAATGTAATTAAAAAATTGTCTTGTAATAATTAATTAAATATAATTTGTTTTTAAATCGTTTTTCATTTGCTTTTTTTAATTAAAAAATCACTGGGACCTTCAATTAGGAAATTTAACCATTGTGCGATTAAATTGATTTAATTTTTTATTGTCAAGTAAATAATACTTTCATTTTTAAATTTGCACTTATTTATTTTAATTTAAATTTTAAGCATTTTAATGCAAATTTTAAAGTGGATAATTTTATTTCATCATTAATATTAAGCAATTGACATTTTTTTACCTGTATAGGTTCTGCTCCATCAACAAGCTGGACCATTAGCTCTCTGGTTTCAGCGTTGAGCACCAGCCAGCGGCCTGTGGTAAGTCCCAGGACGAGGACGGCCCCATCTGGCGAGAAGGCGGCTGATTGAAGAGGCTCTGGCAGGTCAGAACTCCAAACCACCGACCGGGACTGGCCGTCCCACAATCGGACGCAGCAGTCGTGGCCGCCGGTCGCAAACTGTGGCAGCGACGGATGGGCGGCCAACGCCCACACCTCATCAGTGTGGCCGATGGCAACGGCCGCCATTCCAGAGGTCAATGACCCAGCGGCCATCGAGTTCTTGGTGGTGCCTACAACCAGGCGGCCACCGCGGCCAGCGGCAATGGCCCGGACGCCGCCCAGGTCGTCCGGCAACTGTGTCGATGCGCCTGTCGAGCTCAGGGTGTGATCCAGTTGAACAAGGCGACGGTCTTTGCCGCCACCTGAGATGACCTGGCCGTCGTTGGTCACCACCAGACAGAACAAAGGGCCCTCATGCACCGCCCTGACCACCTTGGATACGGTGTTGCCGCCTCGCACCCACACGATGATGTTGCCGTTCGAGTCGCCAGACAGAACTTCACCGTTTTGCGAAAAGGCCAGGCAGGTCACGTACTTGGGCTTTTCGCGGCCCTCAAAGATTCCATTCCTCTTGATCAGGGTGCCGCCCAATTCGTGAGTCCAGAAGGCGATGTGCGACTTCCCGCAGGTCACAATTGTTCCCCGGTCCACTGGGTGCCACTCGGCAGCCACCACCGTATCATTTGAACACTAAAAAAAGAAATTAAAATAAAATTTGATCATTTTTTGCAATAAATGAGAAAAAATAGATGTATTTTTAAATTTGATTACTTTAAAAAAAGGTAAAATAATTTCATTTCTGAATTTTCTAATAGAATTTCTCCAATGAGGCCTCAAATAAACAATTAAGTTAATTTTTATTTAAAAAATTAATAAATTATTCACTTAATGAAATTTCATACTACACAAAGCTCAATTTTTACAGAAAAACTGCATGAAATTTAAAATATCCAAAATTAATTTTTATTTTATTTTAACATGTAAGTTTATAAAAAATCTATAAATTTTATAATTGCTGACCTTCGTTTCTGAGATTTTATGACCTCTCTCTCCTTTTTGCCAGTCCCAAACTGAAATGTTGTGGTCCGGCGCTTCGTCGATGGCACAAAGTAAAGCGCCTCCGTCCTACAAAAAATAATTTTATGTAAAGCATACCAAAAAATACTTTGCCAATCACTTACAGTTTTTGAAAAACTTAGGCAGCAAATGGAGCGCTCGAAATCGCCGATACCAATGACGTGCAGGGTTTGCAGACTCACGGAATTCCAGATTCTGACGTGAGGCTGCAAATCGAAATCTAAAATTAATACTTATTTCTCTTTTTAAATTGTAACAAAACAAAGCGGAACGAATTTGTTAAAAATTTCCTCTCCTGGTAAATTAGCTGCAAACACAAAATTTTAGCAACAATGAACGATAACGAGTTCTTTAATTAAAATCCAGAGTTTAAAATTTAAAATAATAGAAAGAGTGGAAAATTGTATAGAAAAAAGTTATAATACAATATAAATCTGTTATTGACAGCAAAAACAACTGCATTGAAAACAAGTTAACAAGCAGAGATGAATGGTTAGAAGCAGCAAAACAAGAATTCTGCGTGTAAAGTGCGGTTAGAAGCGATCGACGGGATCGAAACCGATCTCGGTTTCGCATCGACACAGAGATCTCGGAACACACACAGAGCGCGCGTCGACATACCCAGTAGTCCGCCTCTGGCGCTGTAATGTCCGGGGGTGGGTTCAACCTCCAAGACTGGGGGTGAAAATGACAATTTTGGTTTTAACTACTTTTATTGTACAAAAAGTGTGCACCGTTTGTGGGTGTGCTGTACAGAAGGCGGCTTGTTTTTGCACAAAGCACTTCTGAACAGCTGTGGGATTAATTATGGTATCTTTACTCTACACTAATTGCTACAAAAAAAATAAAATCCTATTTTTACGAAGAGAATTAAAAAGTTATATTTAAATAACTCACCCTGCCATCCTTTCGATCGTGCCCTGCTGTCTGACCGCTGGCGACGAGCAACTTGTTCGGGTGAATGGCCAAACTAGAATTTGAATTATAACCAAATTTTCAAATTATAACTCAATATAACTATTTATAAATACGATGAGTAATATAGTAAAAGAGAACATACAAGATACTGATCTAATTTTTAAATAATTGTCGTTAAGTATTCTTTACTGGAGTAAAAATTTATAAATTCATTTATAAGACTAAAAGTGACCAACCTTGATTAAAATGAAACTTTAAAGGATGTAGCAATTTTATATATAATTTAAAAGATTAAAAACTGTATAATATACAATATTGAAATAAAATTAAAATATTTAACTTGTTAAACATCAAAATTAAAAACAATATGAAAAAAATTAAATATATATACATTTTTTTTAATAATATATATATTGTAAATTTAAAATATATAAAATTTAAGCCAATTTTGATATTTAAAATTTCAGTAAATGCACTAATAAGATCTATGTACACAAAAAATAATTAATTATTCAAAAAAATTTTGTTTAGGATAATTTTTTCATTCTTTTTTAGGCATTTGTTTTTAGGAAGATTCATTTTATAAATTTGATTGACGCCGTCATCACCTTTTGACGTCGTCCGTGTGTCCGAGGTAGTGCCTCTGGGACTGCTCGTCTATGTTGAGCAGCACAACGGCGGCCGCGATGAAGTAGACCACCTCACCCGTGGGCAGCAAAAACACATTGGAGCGGCAGTCGCGGCCTCTGTAGCCGTACCTGCGTTCCCTCGCTAAGGAAAATCTCAAAACTTCTTCTTTTCATAATTTAATTGCCAAACGAGCCGAGGTAATTTTTAATAACAGGTTCCATTCCGCGCATTTTTATGATGAAAAAAGGATACACCCATTCGAGTTTAAGGCGCTGCTGCGGGGCAGTGGCGACCTTGGTGATCTCGAACGACGGAGCCACGTCCGAGGGTGCGTGCAGGATGACAGGCCGGCCGCGGAGGAACATGCGCACGTAGCCCTCTTCTTCGTTGTAGATCGCGTCTCTCACGCTAATCAGTGGCACAAACAAAAGTTTTCAAGTCGGTCCCATCATATTAGGGCGATGGAAAAACAAAATTTAATTTAAAAAAAAAATATATGGCACAAATGAGAATTGCGTTGATGATCATTTTTAAATGAATTTATTTAAAAATAAATCATTTTCAATTATAAAAATGTTATTGAATTGCAGTATGAGAATTTTAAAATTGCCGGAAAAAATTAATTATTCTTGAATAGAAAATTTATTTAAAGTGATTGGAATCAATAAGCGTTTTATAAAATAATTCAGACTCCTTACAGTAAATAGTTTTATTCTTGAATTTCGTATAACACAAAATTTCATGGACTGATCGACTGATGAGAAAATCATGATCGAAAAATTCACATTCCCATCAAAAAATTGTAAAGAATTAAAACAGGGGCTCATCGAAAGTTCAAATTTTCCTGCTAAGTTCATTCAAACCTTCTGTTTCAATAAAAAAATTCAAATATGTATAATAGGCAAGTTTCAGATTAAATCTTTGCTCAAGATTTTCATACTTTTGGAGAGGAAGGTGACCTTTGATTAACCCATGCGAAATTTTTCATTTGCGATTTCGATTTCAGTCTAAAAATTTGGTGTTTTTTCTAATTCAATTAATAAAATCATTGAAATGCACATAATTTGTCCTTTTTTTAGAGAAAAAAATTAGAAATTTTGCATGTTTCTTCCTCATGGTGCAAGAGACTTTGCAAATAACTCGCGATATTTTAATCTTCAATTAATTATTTCTGACGTCGTTGTTACTTTGAAGAGACTTTTAAGGAGAGATCATCAGATTAAAAAATAAATCTCCAGATTTTTAGAAATTTCTATTATAAATTATAATGCTCAAAATAAAATTTATGTCTTTATAACGAGCTAGTTTGACAAGTCTCGCCACCATAAATCATCGCAAAGGACAAATTATCGTTTAGCTCAACACTCCACGCGAATTGTATGCATATAATGAGACGTGCAAAAGCAGTGCGTGTTGCAAACGCGGAACAAGAGGGCGTTAATACATTTTTAGACAAATGGCTCTTGAATTTATCAAAACGAACGCACCTCGTTCCTTAAGCGGATCGAGATGATGCGAAATCCATCTCTTTCCACCTCCACCCGCCGCGAGGTGAAAAATACATGAGCTCGCAGCAGCAAATTTAGGGAGTGAGCAAAATCTTCAATTTTGCCAAGTGTGTTAATAACACGTCCGATTTAACAATGCGCGAAACCTTGGCCTTTGATATTAATACTGTATATGGCGCGGCCATGAGAAAAAGTGCCCACTTGACGTGCGCCTCCAACACTCTCATCTTCTTCGAAATGATTTTTCCACATTGACCGAAACGAGAAATGCAAATAGAACGAAGAGATTATTATATATAGAGGCGCGCACAAGACGGGAGCGACTTGTGCAAGTCAGGCGACGTCTTGTTTGATTTAACAAGAGAGAGAAAACTTGTGCTTCGGAAAATAAGGTGCGAGAGATATTGTGCTTTAAGTGGCAATTCACATTTGTGCAAAAAAGAGAGTCAAGTTTGGATATAAAAACGATTTTTTTTTTTTTAAACGAGTGTCATACCCATGCTTGTAAGTGATGTGATTGTACTGTTGTTGAGGGTTGACTGGCTTCATGTACAGGTTAAACAAGGACTTGGTCGCTAATCTACATATATGATAAAAAAAAGGCATAAATAGAAAACGTGCTGCTCAAAATCAACAGGCTGGTTATAAAACAGAAGGAAAGTTTTTAAATTAATCAAAGTATAGATACACACACAGTGACATTGACAAACACAAAAAGTTTGGCTAAATAAAAATTCAAATAAGTTTTTTACTTCCTGGAAATAAGTAAACATTTTGTAGTATCTTTGGAAATGTAAACATAAAATAAAAAATTGATTCGGTTCAGTTTATGGTGCATTTGAATAATTGAAAATTTAATTTACTACGATTGGAAAACGAGAAAAATTTTGTTAGAGGAAATCTGATGAAAAAAATTTTACTTTTTTTTAAACATTATTCTTGACTATGATTTATTCAAAGAAAACTGGAAAAATCTGAAAAAATCAAATTTGGATGCTTGATTCTTTTGATTGTTTTTTTAATAATGAAAATTATGTAGATAATTTTAGTTCCTTGACAGAACGCGGATAGAATTCTGGATGAAGAATTGAAACTAAAATTTTATGCATGAAAACAAATTATTAATACAATAAATTAGAAAATTTAAAATTTTATGATTTATAACGAAATTTGTATTAAAAATATAATGTTTGAACAATAAAATTGCTGTTAATATTAAAAAATAAATGATAATAGTTTAAATATTTTTAAAATTATTTTACTAATGAATGTAATATATTCATTTTAATCTCATTAAAATTTAAAACTTTATAATTTAAAAATAATTATTACTTTATTCAACTTTAAGATGCATTAAGCATAGAAATGAAAAATGTTTTAAAAGTAAGAACTTTATAAAAAGCAAAAGCATCAAACAATCCATTAATTAATTGAAAAAAAAATGAACAGATTTTTTTTATTTCCGACCGTTTCGGACAGTGTTTGTTGTGTGGTTAGTGAATGTTTGATCTGACCTGGAGGCGGCTGCCATCGGACTGTGCGGAGAGGTGAGCGGCGAGCTGGCGCTTCCGTTGAAGTCGCCGGTGGAACTCCAGCGTTTGGCCAGGCTGAGGCTGGAGAGGGCGGCCGCGCGGTGTCCGGGGGACGGAGGCGTGGGGGTCGGGCCCGAGGAGCGCGACTGCTGAGGCGCGGGCGACGCGCTCTGCTGCGGCGTGTGCGTGGGCGACGGGGACGGCGAACCGCCGCCCGACGCCGACGATGGCGAGTCCGAGTGCAGCGAGCCGGTGCTCTGGTAGTGGACGGCCCTGCTCCGCTGTGGAAGCTGCGAAGGCACCCTCATCCCGCTCTGCGGACGCAGACGCACCCCCGGCGCTTCCTTCGGACCAACTGAAACTGCCAACCAAATTTCAATTATCTTCTGCCATAAAGGGTGGAAATTTACTGGGAAGGCGTAAAAATGAGCAACAAAATTGGGCGTTGATTTGATTTTTATAATTGCATATCGCCTTGTTGTGAATTTATGCACTTGACCTTTGGGAGGGGCTATTGATTTTCTTGTTTATAACTTAATTATATTTAGAGTTTCTTTTGTTTTTTTTATCAATTTTGTAAATCTTGGCCATTCATCCATCAGCATCAATATTATTCTAAATTCATTGAAAACAACTAATGCGCACTATAAACAAAAATTTAATTCACTTGATTTTATTTCATCATTGCTAAAAAATTTTCATAAAATATATAATGATTCCAATTTAATCGTTGATGCAAAATGATTAAGGCAAATAAAAATGTACATGTTAAATTGAAAGAAATTTATAAGAATTTTATTTTTTAGGAAACATTTCTTTCTAAAGTATTTTCCTGCTTAACGATTACCTTGCCAGGTACATTTTCAATTATAATTTAAGCATTATTTGGAAAAGAATAGTTTTTACAATAAAGAGTCCGAAATTTAAATGTAAACCAATTTATTTTCAATATTTTATATTTAATTTTTGTGATTGACTTGATGTAAGATGTTGTGAATTTCATTGTATTTGAATAGAGAATAAATAAACAAAGATTGTTATTACTATTTCATAATTTCAGTTTTTAAATTTTATATCTTCAAAATAGAACAAATTTATATGGGAAACTTTTGGTTTATTTATTCTATAATCTGTTAAAAATTTACTAATTTTATAAAGGCTTCTGCTTTTTTTAGTAATTTCATTTCAAATGGGATTGCATTCAACTACAAACCTCTCATGGGACCATTTCTCGAAGGTGTGGCCGGTTGAATTTGGGGCTGCAATCGGAAGGGCGGATTCTGTCCAGCAGAGGTCAACTGACCCTCCAGAAGGTTGACGCGACGCAACACGTCGGCCAGCGTCGAACGCAGGCACACAATCTCATCGGCCTGTGTCAACGCTTTCTGCTCGAGGGCGGCCACCCTTTCCCGCAGCGAGTCGTTGTCCGCCTCCATCATCTCATCTGATCAACAGATATTGACATAATTAATTTTAAAACATCTGCAAGTGACAGACAAGCATAAATAATAGTATAATAAACATTTATTAATTTAAGTGTCATTTTTCTCTCTCCAAAACTTTATTAATAAAATACACTTTCTGTTCTCATTTTTCCAAATTAGCAGACAATTTTAATGTTAATAAGTTATATTTTTAGAGCTTTTACAAAAACATGTAATTATTAAAGTACACTAAATTGTCTTTCCGGAGCGTTAATCTTTTTTCTCTTGGAATTCCCGGTGGAAATTATTAAAAAAAATCGATTACTACAGCGACCTTGGGACTACTTTTGTCTTATGCCATCGGTTTACCGAAGCGAGGGAAAACTTATTCTCGGTTAAGTTTGATTGATAGGCATAATAATATGCGTGTCAGGAGGGCGAAAGGGCGTCCGTTTGTTTCGCGAAATAATCGCTTATCGGCGGAAGGGCGCCTGATGAGGGTGCGCGCCTTAGAAATAAAAATAAACACCTAAACAAGCAGGCGCAGGCACGCGAGCCATCGACGCGCTGATCGATTTCGCGCCGACGATTCCAAGATTACCTTTCAACCGAGTTAATTGAATGAAAAACTGAAACGCTGATTGAGCTGTAAATTGTGCATGGCGAGAAAGAGAGAGTTCGCTGGTGCGATCGAAATAAAAATAATGCAACAAAGACCCAAGTTAAAAGTAAATTGGCGTATCAAGCAGCTTGTTGTATTTAATCTACTTTTTAATGGTAATTTTATAACCAAAACGAAATAAATTAATTCAGATTTAGATTTTTGTTGTTTTTTTTTCGCTGTCACAAATTGACTATATCACGGCGAAAAAATCAGATGTATGCAAGTAGGAATTTTTTTCGTGTTTCTTGGACTCAAGAAAGTCAGCAGCATCTGTAAAAATTTTGATTCAAGCCAGTAAAAAAATTATTGAAATCAAAATTTTTCAGGGAAAGAAATTTTCTGATATCAATATTATATATTTATTTTCCTGAAATTATCAAAACCTAAATCTACATTCAAGAAAAAATTAATTGATATGAAATTTCAAACGTTATTTTAGCTGAGGCCGAAAAGCAATTTGAGGCGAGTAAAATGGATATTCCAAAAAACATTCCTCACACAGGAGCTCTTCTTTTTTCTTTCAGGATCGGTTCTTTGGAAGATGCTTGACTGTGATTTCTTTGATTGGATTCGTGGAAAATCAATAAAGAAATGAACAATTTGTTGGAGAAGTTAGTTGCAATTTTACCGACAAAAGGAGGCGCCTTAGAGTGAGTCGAGTCCAAGTCACGACCTCATTTAGACCATTTACCGCCGCGCACAAAAGGCGGAAAGCGATAATGCAAACTCATTCTTTGTAAGTAGCTGCGATTCAACTTCGCGGCAGTGAAGTTTCTTTAATATTTAACTTTCAGATCGGCTCCACTTTTCACACAGAAACACAACATATGGAATCATCTTTTATTCATGTTTCGCAAAACTGAAACGTTTTATTTTCTTCAACATCATTTAACAAAAATTATTTATATACCACTAGGTGAAAGAAGTGTTTCTGATTCTTTAATTGTCTTAAAATTTATTCTCAATGTGAGATTTTCAGAATCTCGGAATTGATATTCTAATATAAAATTGTGCAAATAAAAATGAATTTTTTAACTTTCCTGATGTAAAATATTATTTTTCAGTTTTTTGGTTTCAATTTCTGAATTTAAATTTTGCTATTGCTACTGATTGACAATATTTGATTCGAATTTCATTAGAAATTTTGAGTAAAGAATTGACCTTTGAATGAAAGGGTCTTCATTAAAAATCACTGCCCTTTTCAATTTTAGAACAAAATTTAAATTAAATGAATTATGAAATTTCTTATCTGATAAAGAATCTGGAAAAATTTCTTTCCAAAGTTATACTTTTAGCGACAGATTAACCTTTTCGATTACAATAATTTAAGCTTATCGGAAAAAATAGGCTTCATAACCAGTCAATTTAATTAAACTGAATTAAACGAAAGACAGTTATAATTATAAAATTATATTTTATAGTTTTAACCATCAATTAGTTACGCACCTGACTTTCTGAGAAAAAAAAAATTAGTATTTTCATTTAACATTTAATTATTTCTTCCTACAGAGAAAGCTTGTAGGGTAATGAGCCACCTAGAGCTTCCGACCAAACGAAAAATAATTTTCTCTCAAATTAAACTACTCGAAATTAATAACTTCCTAGAAAAAACCCGGCTAATTTGGATTTGCGAGCGATTTGAATTGCTCGAATGCGGTTCAATTCGCGTTCGCCGCCTGGCGTCAGCTGATCGGCCAAATGCTGATGCAGCGGCACAAATGCTCTCGCACTCGAGGACCCTTTTCGAGACAAAGCACTGCTCGTTATCTACTCACTCCAGGCCTCCTCGACGGCGGCCATGGTGCTGTCTCTGGACTTGACCGGGTCCATGTCATCTGGGGGCTTCACGGGCCATTCGGAAAACAGCTGCCTCTGATCTCGATCGACTCCTTCGGACGGAAAACAGCCCTCGCCAGTCTGCCAGTCTGGCCCCGAGCAGAGAAAAAAAACACCCCCTCGCCGCCGCCGTCAGCTGAGTGCGCATCTCGACATTCGGTGCATGCGTGCTCGCGGCCAACTCGCGGCGTGTAAAAAAACAAACGCGACTCGCAACAACAATGAAATGTGTTCCCCTTCACGCTTGACTCGCCGCGAGAAATGCTCGCTGCCGCGGCTCCCAACTAACTGGATGAGAGCAAATACGTGCAATAATTGCATAAAGGTGACTTGTTCCGCCAATCATCTGAGACGCAAATTACGCGAAAAATTTAATATGTCATTACATATAGAACGGTAATATGAGTATTAAAATTTGTATATATGCTTTTTCAAATTTTCATATAATTGAACAAAAAACTTACTTGACTTACTTCCTATTCAGTTATATTATATTTCATATAATTTTGCACTAATGAGAATCATGATTAAGTCCTGATCTTCATTAATTTTTTTAAAACACCAATTTGGGCCATACTGCGCCATATTAAAGAATTTTTTCAATTTAAATTTTATATGATCGCTCAAAGATTACAAAATTACAAATAGGAAGTTCTTTCTTCTCAAACTAATATCTTTAAAAAAACTTTCCGTTCTTTTTTTTTAAATCTTCCAATCATAAAATAGTGCCATGCCAATGATAACAAAAGATAAACGCGGATAAGGGTATTTTATATATTTTTTTTAATACTTCTTAAGAAGCATTAAAACTCAATTCAGTTCAGTCATTATATTTCGTTTATATGATCTTTATTAAGCTTTAAAATAATGTATGGGATAAAAAAGGTATGCTAACATCCTAAAACATTTTAAACATTGACGTTTCGTAAATGACTTAATTTAATGTAAGTTGCTACAATATTCAATTTTTACGCTTTAGACACGTTCATAAATTTATTATATTTAATTAAATTATGTAATAAATATTATTTATACACAAATAACACAATAAAAAAGTTTTTTAATTAAATTAATATATAATTTTAATATATTATTAGTAAAATGTTAAATAAATTAAATACAGTATTTAAAAAAATTATTAAAATAATCACATAATTTGAGTAGAATAAACAACAATAAATTAAAAAATAAACTGATTACTAAAATGATAATATTGTATTATTTTTGTTATGAAAAAAATACAAATATAGTTTACAGAGTATAATAATGTTTCTTGTTTATTTATGATGATTAAGAAACAACAAGAGGCAGGTTTACGAGTTTACAAAAAAATCTAAATATTAAGAATTTGATGTGAATCTGGAGTTTTGTTTAACGTGACTCAAAACTGCAACAGCAAAAATGAAGCTCTTCCGCTTCTTTGTACTGTTTTTATTTTTATGAATACTTTTTTTGTAAAAGTAATATCGTAACAATCAAATCACATACAATGCTTTAAATATTTTATGTGATTTTATGTTTATAAGAATTTTAATAGTTACACAATTAATTTATATATTTCCCATTTAATTTTAAACTTCTTCTTGAATTCAAATTGCATAATTGCCAACTATATTTAATCTTTGCACTGAAAACTATAATATGACTTTCAGACTTTTACAGGTAAAAACCTTTCCCTTTTGCAGGTTAATGACCAAAAAAGTAATCCACGTCTTGCGATCGTCACTTTTATGTCAGATTCAATCTGCAATCCCACACTGCAGCTGCGTCCAGTCAAAAGCTGCATTTTATAATACTTTGATGGTTGGATTTCTCGAATCTCAATTAAACCATTCTTCTCGTGTATCGGCCGCGCGGATTACCATATGTGCCGCTAATACCAAATTTAGACAACCGTTTTTATGGTTGCCTAATCCGAACCTGTTGAATCGGAACGAATTGAGCGGCAGCTGTTCCTTTTGCTGCGCGAGCCGCCGCTTCCTTTTTTCGTTTCTCGCCACAAAACAATCGCACTTTGGGGACAGACTTGACTAGCGAAAATTAAAAAACGGCCAGGCCGAATTTCGTGCAGGGCGGGTGCGATTTGGCACCACGATAAGAGCAAAAGCCTCTCATAACGTTATTTGTCAGCGTGCAGGAGAAAGCTCTGCGGCCTCGGAGGTCACGAGAGTGCGATTCATTATTGCCATGTGCGCCAAGCAAACCGACCGTCGGTCGATTGCTTTTCGTTTGCCAACTGCGTCTCCTGAATTCCTTTCGAGCACTCCGAAGGACGAACAGCAGTAAAGAATTTCAGAGGAATATCTTCTTTTAAATTTGTGAAGCTAAATCAGAAAACGTTTACCAATTTAAAATCTAAAAAGAAAAGAAGAATAAATAATACTGCAGACAAATTTTGTTATTTAAATTTAAAATTAATGAAGCCCAAATTTCAGGAAAGGGTGTGGAATTAAAAATTAAAACGATTCTAGATAATAATAATTTAATAATAATAAAAACTAAATTTACGTTACATTTTCCTAAGATGAGCATTTTATTTAAGACATTTATTTACATATTTATTAATTTAATGTGCCTTTTGGTTTCTTTGGAAATAAGTTTTGTCAAAATTTTCTAAAAAGTAATAGAATTGAAATAAAAAGGCCCACTTTTGACCTTTTTTAACATAATAAAAAATTTTAATAAATTTATTTAACAGACTTTTAATCTAATTTATAGCAAATAAATATACCAAAATAATTAAAATAAGTGTTTAAAATTCCTATTCCAACTGATCAAGGCTTTCGCAGAAATGTCTGTACCGTCTATTCATGGCGTTCCAGCTACTGAATAGGCCAAATAAATACTAAAGAGGCTGCCAAAAGTCGTGAAGTTTATTTGCTTCGTTGCTTTTTACAACCCGCGGTATTCATGGAGTGTATTATTTATTTCTCTTTCTGCGCTAAGTAAGCATAAGTTGGCGATTCATGCAAATTCATTGAGAAAACGTCAGTGGGCACCTCGAGAAGTTGCGGATAAAATTGCTTTATTTATTATACAATAGGGCGGTATAGCGGGTGTGGTCTCAAAGGATTAAATGAGACAGTTGGCCATTCTTCAAAATGCAAATCCGACTTTGATGAGAATTGATCATCTCTGGCAGGGATTTTGGCATCAGCATGAATTTTTAAAAGGTCATCTATTGTTTTGAGAGGGAATTGCATGATCGGATTCCGAGCCGGCATAATTCAACGCAAACAACGAGACCGAATTGGCATTCTGTGGCTGCCACCGATAAGAATTTCACGTCAAAAGCAAACGGCTAAGCTAGAAACGCTATAGATAAGATAACAATGTGTACCGGTGTCTTCCTATGCAAGTCAAAACACGCTGCCGACTGACGGCGTCGTTTGTTCATAAAATGCAAAGCAATAGAATGTGTTTGCAGAGTTCATTGAACAATGAAATGCAATTAAATTTGATTTAGAACTTTATAATATTATATCAAAATTATATGCAAATTATTCTCCTAGGTAATTTTTGTCCTTCAATTTCATGAATTTGAAAAATGTTGCAGAGTTTTTGTGTGTTTATTTTAGGCAATTTTATAAAATATTATTATTTTACTGCTTAAGTGCGCAAATATAATTAAGTTTTAAATTTTTATTATACTGAAAATAATTGATTTGAAAATATTTTTTCCGAATTCCTAAAATTTTCTCTTTGAATAATTGTAATTTACCTTTTTTTAAATTAAAAATATAAGTACATTGTTATTTAAAATAAAATTACTTACCAAATTCGACTGACGAGGCTGCGGATGGCGACGAGGGCCCCGCATCGTCCCCTTTAATCCTCATCGCAGCTCCTTGAAGCATCAGTCCATAATCTGAAATTCAATATCAAGGTTGGGTGAATAAAAGCGGCAAATTGATTCACTTTAAAAGGGAAACTGACAAAGACATGCAAGTGAGAAATTCCTTATATTGTTGATTGATCATCTTTTCACGCTAATTACCGTGACTCATTGCAATAAAATGCTTTTATTGGTGCAATTACTGCCATAATTACACCCGTGCCAGATTATGATGTAACAGAACCATTAACGTGGAAGTAGGAAGATTAATGACTAAATGCGCTGCTCTGATAAATGAAGTAAAAGTAAACAAACTGTCCAGCATTAATGGACCTAAAAAACTGTTTATTTAATTTAAGAATAATCAGCACAAATTTTGACTTATAAAATAAAATTTTTTTGTAAAAAACTATGTTCAACTTTTATGGACTTCAATCAATAAATATTAATTATTTTCTTGGTCTAGGAAAAAAATTTGAAGAAAGAAGTGAGAAAATAAAAAAAAGTTTTGACCGAATTATTATTTATCTCATTATTTTCATCACATTAGGTTTTTCTTTTGAATATTTAATAACTTTTAATTTAAATGATTTAAATCGTGACTAATTTGGGAATGAATTTTTTTATGAATGACCGCACTGGCTGTTGTCACACGAGTGTCTGTCTCGAGGTGGATTTTGACGGACGTTCGGTGGGCGCAGCATCACAGGAAGGGCGGAATGAGAAACAAAGCATCAGAACCGTGACTTTGCCGCAGCCAAGCTCACGGCAAGGATGGATAGATTAATTTCAGGGAGCGCCGTTTTTTTTTTCAGAGCACAGATCGCATTTCACTCTTTCAAAAACAATAAGCAGAGAGCCAATGTGGCGAAAAATTTAATTTATATTTTATGCGAATCGCAAACGTGGCAGAACAGGTTGATGATGCGAATATAATGTAATTCTAGAAAGTGTATTGTGTGAATTTTAAATGGCGAATACACCGAATATTTAATTCCTATTTAAAGTATCAAATTAATATCACTTTGAGATGTTGTAAAAATAAGAAGTGACGTATCAAGCCATTATAATCAATCAATAAAATGTCCATGTTCAATTTGAAAATAAATAATAAAAATATGTTAATATTAAGTGATTTAAATTAATAAAGGGAAGCACGAAAAAAAATTGTCAGTGACTGTTTGAAAGTTTTTCTGAGGAAATAAAAAGTTGTTTTTTCATATTGGTTCATATGAGCAAAATAATTATATTTTTTTAATAAATTTACTATTATTAGTTTTGTACAACAGTTTGCAACTATTATTTAATAATATTTGTTTTCATTTAAATTTTACTGATTATTATACAGTTTATTATATTAAATTTGTTTTTATATATTTATTAAATTTATTATTTTTTATATTATTTTAAACAATTTTAGTTCTTCCAAAAGCTCTAAGAAATTATATAATTAGAGTTCATAATATTATTTTGTTAAATTATAAATTTTCATAGCCCAAACTACAATCTTAGGCTTGCATTGAAAATTGATTTTTTTGATATAATAATTGCATTACAATAAATTATAAAATTTTAATATAAAAAACAAAATGTTTTTTCTCTCTCTGACAGTTAAAATTGGCTTTATCAGTGCACTTAAGGAGTTCATTGTTGATTTTTTTCTTATCAATTTAAAGTTTCCTAGGTATATTTTTAAATAAATTTTTTAATTACTCTAGGAAAATTGCAAGAAAATAATTAAATAATTCCAATTTATCATTGATTTTTTTTTGTATTCTTGTGGTTTTGGATTACTGTTACCACTTAATTTATTTCTTGAAACCGCTATAACTATTTGCTACAAAAACCAGTTGCCGGTCAGGTTTTGATAAGAAAAAAATTACAAACGCACAAGAGCAAAACCTGCATAATTCAAACTTTCAGGGCAGGTTGGCGATAATTACAAGAGTGAAGCTGCGTCCGACACACCTTTTTTGCAGTCAGGTCGAGAATTCCACAAGTATGAAAAAATGCACTTTGCTTAAGGTATGCGCACAAGACAATTAATTGCGTTTGCCGGCGGGCCTGAATCACTCGCCCTTGGCCGCGGAAGGCGCCGAATAATAATAATCGTCCTAAACTATTACACACGGCGCGGCTCTAACCGACCATAAAAGTGCACGCAATTACGACAGAGCAGAGAACCGTCGAGCTTTAAAAAAGCAAAAAAATAATATTAAACACCGACCTGCTGTTGACGACGGCGGATCGTTGCAAGCGAGGGGAAGCGCGGCGTCCGGCAAAGTCTCAGGTCAGACCCTGACGGCCTCCTCCTCAGGGTATGCTCAGGTTCTGCAAGGGCCACGTCCACTCGGGTCAGACCAACCTGTCTGAGTCACTCGCAACTTTATATATTATCAATCGCGGCAGCTCGGTCGGTCGCACCTGGCCCAACTCGGGACAACTCGCGACTCTCAACGCTTCGTGCAGCTTGCAATGAAATGAACCTACCTGTTTTCGCTGCCCCTCTCCGACGCCCCCACCAGCTGCTCCATCCGCCGGCCAAGGCCAATTTTTGTTTGATAACACACAAAATAATGTTTAATGCAACTGCATTTACAAAGGGCGCTCTCTTTCTTTCTTTGTGACATTCACAGTGGGTTGAAAGGGTTCAAATCTCTTCCGCCGGCGAAGAGAACATTTATTTATTTATTCAGAGTATGGCTGGCCTGTTTTTTTTTCTTGTACGACATTGCGGAGTTCATCGCCAGGTGTTATCGGCCTGCTTGAATTTGAATTCATTGAATTTTTTTCAAAGGAGTTCTATTTTTAGAATTCATCTTTCGTCTCCCCTGAGACGTTTGTCGCGGTTTTACTCGCAGTTCGTGGAAACGGGAAAGCAATGCGGATGCTAGGAACTCAGGAAACGTTTCTGCAAAGCCCAACACTCCGTGTTTAATCATACTAATTAATAGTCTTTATAAGATAACAAGATAAGAACTTCTAATGCTCTTATAAATTTTGTAAGCTATGGTGGAGGTGAAATATAAATTGCAAATTTGTTATAATAGTTAAAAATGTTTTATATTATAAATAGTATACAAAATGTTATTGAGAACAATTTTAAACGCCACACTTTCTCTTATATCATATATTTTAATTATTAAATTTAAATAAAATAATATTACACAATTTTTTAACGTAACAAATGAATAAAATTAATTTATTTTAATAAAAACTTAATTGCTTTGCTGCACAAAATTTAAAATATTTGAATAATTTTAGTTAATCTTCATAATTTAAATTTTTTATAAATTGCAATTTTTTTTAATTAAATGAAATTATTGAAACAGATTTTCAAATAATGTGTGTAGAACACAATTATGAGCTATAAGCTATAACTAAAATGTTTGGGTTGAATAATGGGCCCAAAATTAATCCAGTTACGCAGTTTATTTAACTTTGCGCCTGAAAAATACAAAGGCGAGACAAATATTGCATAGTTTTTTTTTAAATTTGTAAAATTTTTTTTAAATTGAAGCAATTTTTTTGGAGGTCAAATAAAAAATAAAAAATCATCTAAATAAAATTAATGAATGCTCGATGCACTGTAAAAAATTTTTTTTTTTTAAATTGCATTTCAATACATTCAAATGTGCTGTGAGCGAAGCATCTAGAACGAAACAAACATGCAAAACACAATTTTTATGAGTTGCCAAAGTGCTGTCTGTGTGTGGACAGCATCGTAAATAACACATCGCCGAAAAGCAAACTACAGAGTAGGCGTTTTCTGCATGCCGGTCAAGGTGGACGCGCGCGTTATTTTTTTCTCTCTTTATTTTCGCAGATGTGCGCCCGGCGCGCTCCAAAAGTTTTGATCCATTTTCCCTTTTTCGTAGATATCCGCCTCGTACGTTCAAAGAAAGCTGTTTGCGCGCCAGGTGGACCATTATTTGCTAGCGCCGTTTCCATAATTTATAAAGGGCGAGGGGGACATAAAAGTCACGCAGACAAAAAGCAGTCGATAATGGACCACCACATAAATTCTAAGGTATTGCACAAGAAAAAGGAGCTGACAATCAAGAGCTGTATTTATTCAGCGCGTACTTATTTGGTATCAAGATCAATTTAATCCGAGCAAAAAAAAATCAACCTCCCAAATGTCTACTTTTCGTTAATTAGGAAATTTTCTTGTTTGGTGCGGAGGCGAAAAAGGTGGAGCATAAGGATTTCGATCAACCTGCGCTACATGATAAATTTATGTGCCCTTGCAGATAGTATTGTGGAATTCTAATTTAATATCTTCATGAATAAAATTGCATATCGATTATCTATCATTACTTTCATAATAAAATGTAAATTGCTCCTATAATGGAATATTTACAAATTAAAAAAAATCTTCTTGGTTTGAAATAATTTTAGGTTGTACTTTATTTTAAATTTTTAAATAAAATTTAAACTTTCTGCTTTTTGTTGGACGGGCCCTCGACATCATCGTCATCTTCCTCCTCTTCAGGACTTTGGAAAATAGGAGTTGGCTGAGTCCTGCAACAAGCAAAATAGTGTTTAATGAACTGTTCAACAATATATTTATTTAAAAAACTGTAAACTAAATAGGTAACTATTAAGTTTTGCAAGTTAAACTATTAAGGAATAAATAACTATCACCGCAAATAAATTTATTTAATTTAATTTAGCTCATGAATCTCAAAATCTCACTTTTTGTAAGCAGGCGCAATCCAGTACGGATTTTCTTCTGCATCCTTGGCAAAGCGCAGAATTGCCTCTCGAGGATCCTGGTCGTCTTCAATTTTCTTGCTAATGCCCAGATTTCTGATAACATACGAACTGAGGGTGCCTCCACCTGTTGCCACTCTGCCACCCTGACCTGATTGAAATTTCACCATTAGTTTTCCACCTTGAATTACATAGTTGAAAAATAAATTACCTTTCGCAATAAGAGGCAGTTCGGGTCTCCTTGACTTGACAGGGTCGAGTCGGGCCTTTTCCATTTGTTTTTTCAGTGACTTGGGTCTGTCTTTGCGGAACAAGGGAAGGGCGTGAGGAGTGATAATTTGCTGGCCAACAGCTGTATGGGTCTGTATAATATGAAACAAAAAAATCAGTTTGGAAAATTAAAAAAATAGCGATTTCACTCACATCTCTGACTTTCCTCCTGACTTTGTTTGCGCAAAGCGTGGCGCCTCGGAAGCTCTTCTTATCATCGTAATAAGCTTTTATGATTCCATTGCCGCAGCCAACAAGTAACTGGTTCAGTTTTTGATGCCAGATTGATCGAATCACATGCTAATTCAAAAAAATAAATTATTCAACAAGAAGGGAGTTGGAAAAGTCTGACTTACGGAATTTGTGACTGGCAGATCTTGAACTAGTTCAAAGGTGTTTTTGTCGAAGAACTTTAATTTTCCCTCAGTCTCTCCTTTCTTCATAGACACTCCTGTTAGTACCATTGAGTCGTCTGGACTAAATGAACATTCGGTCCTGGTTTAAAAAATAAATAAAATAAGATATAATCAATAGATGCAGGTTTTAAATTACGTCGAATATCTGGAGAATAGATCCTCAGCAACATGGACAGGTTTTTTGAATGCTCGCAAGTCCCACAGCTTCAAGGTCTCGTCACCTCCTCTGGTGGCGAACATCTGCTCTCCGTGCGAAAATGTGATGCTGGAGGCCTCGGTCTGGTTTGCATGCGCATTTCTCAGACACTTTGCAGTATTTACCTAAAATATGTCAAAGATGAGAATTTAAATTGTGGATTTCTTTGCGAAAATCTTACAAAAGCCTTCCGGTGGTCCCACATTAGAATGGATCCGTCGTAGCAGACACAAGCAACCAAATTGCCATCTCTACTGTACGTGCAGCAAGTCGGGTTTGTCTTCAAGCCACTCTGAGAACGGCACTTGATAACATACAACTGCATTTTCTTGTTCCACATGTCCCATATCCGTAATGTGCTGCAATCAAATATTTGTTTTGTCAGATCATGATCATATTTAAATTTAAATAGCGAGCAAATTTGTAATTTCTAACAAGTTAAAAATAAACAATTTTAATATTTTTTGGATATTTTTCTTCCAAATTTTTGAATATTTTTACCTGTCCTCTGCAGCTGTGAGAAATTCCTCCCTAATCCTTGGATGCCAGGTCCCTGAAGTGAGCGAGGCAACGTGGCCTTTGGTGTTGGCCATGTCGGTAATGTACATGTCTCCCTTCACAAATTCAGCCTTTTCAAAGCCATCCCTGTCCAAGATCTTGGCTTGGCAGCTGCCAGAGATGATGAGCACCAGGTCACCTGTGATCGAGTACTGCACATATTTGATAGGGTGACTGAAAAAAAAATTAATTAACTTAGTCCAAAAAATTTCAAAGAAAATTAATTTTTTGTATTACTTTTCACAAGGAGTCATGGTACGGAAGCTTTGACAGGTGGAATCCATTCCCTGGAAGTCCCAGAATTTGACTTCGTAGTCGATAGAACCCGAAGCCATTCTGGCACCTGCTGGGTCAACGGACAGAGCTAACACAGCTTTTGATCCATGCACCATGTGCACCTCATGGGAGGCTGGGATTTTGCTTTGAAGAGTCTAAAAATAATTTATAATTGATGTCAGAATAGATATGAAAATATTAATAATCAAATTTCTTACGCCCTCATCTTCTTCTTCAGAGTCGTCGTCACTATTCTCTTCTGCGAGGAGATTTTTTGGAGGTAAAGGACCAATTACTTCTTCATCACTATCCTCATCATCCTTTTTAGAATCACCGCTAGGACCTGCCAAGTCTTCTGGAATCGGAGGGCCGATGAACTCTTCATCACTCTCCTCCTTCTCCTCGTCCAGCTTTAAAGGAGCAAGTTTTTCCGCTGTTCAAAATGTATAAAAATCTATTTCAAAGCTCATTAATATAACGTCAATCATACCAACAGAGATTTTCTCTGACGCCGTCTTTTTGGCCTGCGCCACCAACTCCTCGAGGTTGAACTGCTTGGCTTTTTTTCCAAATCCGCTGAATCCCATGATTTTTTCCATTCCGTCCAATTCTTCTTGAGCCTGCTTGCCATCCTCGGTTTGCGCTGTTGAGAATTTCCCAAAACCACCGCTGGCTTCCGGAGCATCTTCCACGACGGCTGCTGGCTCAGGTGGACTTGGACCGATGCTGAATTTTATTTTGCTGATGTTGCCGAACTGAATTTTCTTTCCCTTCTTGTCCATCTTTGCTCTAGAAAATAAGAGAAGTTTTTGGTGAAAATTTGTGCAAGGTGTTGAAGATAGAAATACATACGTATGTATAATTGAAGTCCTTGTGTTTGTGTTATAATAGAAAAGGTTTCCGTTCAATAAAGTATACCAATTTAGAATGAACAATCCGCCCTCACTACACCCTTGTTGCTGCCACTGCCAATTATTATAATTAGTTTCTCATGCCGAGTAAAACTGTAAACAAACGCGGTCCTACTGAAAAAGGGGCGTTTACTTTACAACTTTACATTTGCCAAACATTTGCAAACACAACAAAATATCCAACTTAAACAAAAACAAAGGTATTTTCTGATAAAAGCACACGTAAAACATGGAAATAAGTGTAATTTCATTAGTTTTAAATTTTTCTATAGGTAAAAAATTTTAATTTTTCTTAAAAACTTGCTACAGAAGCTTTTTTTTTATCAACGTTCTTGCAAAATCTGTATTATTGTTTTGTTGGCAACATTGCTTGATTTTCCGACTGATCAAGTTTTATTTTTTTACTTTCAATCCACAAGAAAAATGGCTTCCAGGGAGGCTGTGCGAGCTACACTGCGCAAAGTTCGACCGATTTTGTCTGCAGACAGAGGCGAGGCGCGGAAACGTGTCCTCAACTTGTACAAGGCATGGTACCGACAAATGCCCTACGTAGGTTAGTAAACGATTCGCAGCGAAAGGTCGCCGCAATACGACTTTAAAGTTAGCCATACTTCTGCTCTATATGTTTTGTAAATAGCCAGAGTAAAATTAATTTCTTGTTACGTTCGGATTGATAAAAGACTATTTTCTGACTGTAATTTGTTATTTTCAGTAATGGACTATGATATTCCTAAGTCTGTTGAGCAATGCAGAGAAAAACTACGAGAAGAGTTTGATAAGAATAGACACGTTACGGACATCAGAGTTATCGATTTGCTGGTTGTGAAGGTAAAATAACGACTTCTAATTTTATACTTTTTAATGAATAAATATATAACTCACTCATTTTGATGAAATTAAATGAAATTTTAATGAAAAGTATGTAAACATGGCCATTTTTGTCAATGAACAAACAATGGAAATATGTATTTTTTTATCTTTATAAAAATACACATTAACTCATATAAAAAAATTTTTGTTGCAGGGGCAAATGGAACTAAAAGAAACGGTTGAAATTTGGAAGCAGAAGGGTCACGTGATGAACTACTTCAAGGACACCCAGGAACCAAAGCCGACCGACTTCCTTTCAAAGTTCCTCTCCGGACATCAGTAAGAGTAGGACAAGAATTTGTTTCCAAGTCAGTTACAAGGTGCAGCAAAGTAGATGCAGGGAATTGAATTTCGATTTATTTCCACAAGGCGCGTGTGAATCTTGTTAAATTCACTAGAGTCTGTAAATATTAAAGATAATTATTGTTACTACTCAAGACTTTCAATCATAAAATCTTCCTCCCAACTTTATTTCTAGTTCACTAAATAAGATTTTGGCTTTCAATATTTTGCGATTGAACTTGACTGACCCAGCTTTATTGTTTAGCAACTGTCACATTATTATTATCTGTTGAGTTGAGCAAGGGCCAAGTTTGTAATCATTAAATTTTTGGCAGCACTCCAATGTTGGCACAAAGCTAATTATTCTACTCTGCCCTTCAGTCACTTATCTAAATTTTATTTCTTTCTCTCTCTAAGTGGTTTGTGACTACGGGGGTGAGAAAATGAAGGCAATTTGGGTATTCATTATCGATACGGGTGTCCTTTATTTCAGTGCCAAAGTGTCGGAAGATTAAAATAATAATAAACCTAGGTACTTAAACTTAAGCCACAATCGCACTCGCAAACAAATAAAACATACTTTTCATTTCCCTGATAAGCACGATCTTTATTTGACAATTCGGTTCACATATTATCATTTTATTTTCACCTTTTTAGTATTAAAAGTCTGAAGGATGTTTAAATATCTCTCGTAGGATCATATAATGGAAGTAAAGTGCGTGTCTTCTCGACCAGAAATAAAAATATAAATTAAACGCTAAGCGTTGAATGAAGAATATATTTTATTCAAATTCAAAATATATTTCACAAAAACGTAGCGTGTGTTGTTCTTCCGGGAGAGGCAGAGCAATGCGTTAGCTCGCTTGGGACTGTTCTTGTGTGTGATGGAATTCAGCCTTTGTGTGTCTATTATAACTTTGTTTGTTCGAAATTTGCCGTCGTTGACTTGTCGTTGTGAGATGTTAAATGCAACACCCATTTGAACATGAGACACTGCTATGTCTCTCCTCCATAGCCCCCCCTTTTCAACTACCCCCCGAGAATTTAGCCACGTGCGAATAAGGGAAGAGAAAGTTACATTTTAATAATTAAATTATTTTAACTTATTAAACGATGCACAAACAACATTTATATTAAGGTGCTTTACAAAGGATTCGCTCGATGGTTTGTGTGTGTGTGGTATTTTAGCGCGGGCCAAGTTTTAAGTAATAAAACTCGTCCGGTATAAGTTGTTGTATCGAATTGTATGAGTTGTGGCCTTTGATTATTCATCGTTGTTTAGTATTCTCCCTCGGGATGAAGGTCGAATCTTGGTGGTAAAACTCCTCCCTCAAAGGGTACCGCTGGTCGGTGGGGGGCGCGATTTGCATGGGGCTGCAAGTGAAAAGCGTTGGTTAGTTTTCAATTAGATACGCTGAGAATTAATTTTTAATTGAAGGGTCAGATAGTTGACATCGAAAGCAGATTTCTGATAATTTAATTCTTTTAATAGATAGCAAGTTTTTATTATTAGAAGATTATCAAGAATTGGCAAAATAATATAGAAGCTTTATAGCAGATTGGATTTTTTTAAAATCTTAATCAGGCATGCAGGAACAATTCAAAGAATTTGAATTCTGGATTGAGAATCCCATTAATTCAACTTACAGATGAGGAAGTGAGAATTTGTTTGGATAAATTGGAAAGTGGCCTATTCAATCAACTTCTTGGCAAGCTGCTTGCCGGATGGCTGGAGATGAGAGAGAGAAACATAATAAGCATTACGGTTATCAAATTATAAGAGGCAATAGAATGAAATTTTTAAAAGCAGCATGCGTTCTAATACATATTAAGCTACTTTTATTTTAAATTGCAGATGTATCTTCCTGAAATAAGCGTTTGTTTTTCTCCAACAAAAGCTTTATTTTTAATTTTTCATATTAGTATAGAAGCTTACCACGGGGCTAAGGGCACGGGCGGCAGACCCGGAACGGCCCTTCGCGCGGAACTTGGCAATGGCTTGTTCAGAGAGGTCGGCACGCTCCTCAGCCTCTTCAAGCTCTTGCTGTGCCTTACGGAACTTGGCAAGGTTCAGTGCAGCAATCTCCTCCTGCAATTCATAGAATTTAATAGTTTTGGTTTTTGTAAAAAAAATTATAAATTTGAACTTACAGCCTCTTCGATCTGTCGCTTGTATGTCTTGATCTTCTGTTGCAGCTTGTCAACAAGGTCCTGCATCCTCTCGTGGTTCTTGCGGTCCTCCTCGCTCTGGAAGCTGAGCTCCTTAATGCGGCGCTCAGACTTGCGGAGGTTCTTCTGGGCATCAGCGTGGCGGCGCTGTTCACCGTCAAGCTCGTTCTCGAGCTCGCGTACCCTCTGTTCCAGCTTCTGGATGGCCTTCTTTCCACCCTTGAGCGCGCTGTTCTCGGCCTCGTCCAGTCTGACCTGGAGTTCCTTGATCTGGACCTCGAGGGCCTTGCGGAGTTTCTCCTGGGTCTGTGCGTGATCCTGTTCGGCGCGCAGCTCGTCGGCAAGACGGGCGGCGTCAACCATGGCCTTCTTGGCCTTCTCTTCGGAGCTCTTAGCCTCGTTGAGGAGCTCGTCCAAGTCGGACTGCAATCACAAATTAATTTATCAGAAAAACTCAACTTGATTTTGCAACCGGCGCTACACGTGTGCTTCGCAGGTTGCATACTTTGAAAATGGAAGGCGTTAAATTTTTTCAGAAAAACTATACATAAATAATGTTTTTTTTTTAAATTAATAAAACTCATTGGCCAAATTTTAAATAATATTTGAATCTAATTTCAGAATAAAACTCACGTGAAGAGTGGAGAGCTCGCTCTCGAGCTTCCTCTTGGCAGCAGAGATGCTCTGGTTCTGTCCACCGAGCTCGTTGAGCTGCTCGTGGGCGTCGCTGAGTTCCTGCTCGGCCTGGCGGCGGCCTCGGTCGGCCTGTTCCAGGAGGGTGCGGGACTCCTCGAGTTCGTTCTGGAGGGCGTTGGCGCGACGCTCGGCGATTCCGTACTGTTCGCGGGCCTCGTCGCGGGCGCGCTGTTCCTCTTCGAAGGAGGTCTGGATCTCCTTGATCTGTTGCTGGTAACGCTTGATGTTCTTCTGGCTCTCGGCATTGGCCTTGTTGGCGTGGTCGAGGGCGATCTCGAGCTCGTTGATGTCAGCCTCAAGCTTCTTCTTCATGCGCAGGGCCTCAGCCTTGCCCTTGGCCTCAGCCTCGAGGGAGGCTTGCATGGAATCGAGGGCGCGCTGGTGGTTCTTGCGGGTGTTCTCGAACTCCTCTTCCTTCTCCTGGATACGGCGGTCAATCTCCTGGCGCACCTGGCTGAGTTCCAGCTGGGCACGCAGGACCTTGTTCTCCTCCTGCTCGAGGGCGGCCTCGGCCTCCTCAAGAGCGGCCTGGAGCTCGTCCTTTTCGACCTCCAGACGCTTGCGAGACTTCTCAATCTCGTGGATGTTTCGGCCACCCTCGCCGATCTGGTCGAGCAAGTCCTTGACCTCATCAGCCAAGTTCTTGTTCTCACGACGGACAGCCTCGAGCTGCTCCTGGCCCTCGTCATAGGCACCCTTGAGACGGAACAGTTCAGTGGAATAGTTGCGGCACTCCTTCTGGGAGGCGTCCAGCTCAGCGGCCAGGTCGTCGACCTTGAGCTTCCATTCGCCGATGATCTTGTCGAAGTGCTTCTGCTTCTTCTCGGCGGCGTTGGCGATCAGGTGGGCGCGATCGACCTCCAGGGTCAGGTCCTCGACCTCAGTGCTGAGGCGCTGGCGGGTCTTTTCCAGGGCGACGACCTTCTGGTTCAGAGACTCGATGGTCTCCTCAGCCTCGGCGAGACGGGCCTGCAGCTTGCGCTTGGCCTCCTCCAGCTCCTCAGAGCGGGCGACGCCCTCAGACTCGTACTTGGAACGCCACAACTGGGCCTCGGCATTGGCCTTGGAAAGCTGGCGCTGAATGTCAGCCTTGCCTTCGGCCTCCTCCTCCATCTGTTCGCGAATGTTGTCCAGGTCGTGCTCCAGGTTGCGGAACTTGCCAAGAAGAGTGGCGCGTTCCTGCGAAATTTATAAAATTTTAAAATCAACCACTAGTTAAAATCTCCACATTTATTTTCAGCTCTGATTTGCTGTTTCATATTGCTCAGTAAAAGTTCAACAACTATTTTTTCAGTAGCTGGTGGTAAAACTTTTGAATCATTTAATTTGAATTAATTAATTAAAATTGTTATTTAATAGAAAATCAACTTACGCGTCCCTCCTCGTCGGCCATACGCTTGGTGTCCTCCAGCTGAGTGGTCAGAGAGATCTTGATCTTGCTCAACTGAGAAACCTGAGACTCGGCCTCCTCCAACTGGCGGAGCAGGTCGGAGTTCTCAACGCTCAACTTCTTCTTGGCGGCATCGAAGTCGTTGAGGGTGCGGTTGGTCTCATCCAGTTTGGACTGGATCTCGTTGATCTGGTGCTGCAGCTGCTTGGCGATCTTCTCAGCAGCAGCCTAAATAATAAAAATTATAAATTTAGTCCAGTTGTTCAAAAGCTAAAATGTAATAAAAAAATTTAAATTAAACGGCACACAACATTCAAAACAAGACACATTGGTATTTTGCACGAGCACATAACAATTATCAAGACTTATCATTACAGAGTTAGGAAGACTAGTTAAAATTTTTTTCTTTAAGAAATTCAGGGAAAAGTAGGATTTATTTTATTAGGGAGTTTCACTGTTTGCATTGCACGTGGCGACAGGGATAAATTTCGTATTAGGCAGGGAAGGCGGGAAAAAATGCGGCTGGCCAATCAGCGCGCGGGAAAAGCCGCCGTCATTAGTCAAGTGGGCGGGGCTGTCGCGGTTATTTATTTTTGCACACAGAGTGGTCAATTTCGGGAAAGTTAAGTGGAAAATTCCAGGTTCGGGACGTGAAAGCGGAATTAAAACGACTTGCGAATCAAAGTGGAATTACGTCCTCGTCGGAATACACCAGAGGTGAGTCTGATTTCGATAAAAATGAAACTCAAAAGCTGAATCTAATTTGCATGTAAACAAGCGTATGAAAAATGTGGAGAAAAATGTAAAAGTCTCCATTTGATTTGAAAAGCAGCGGTTTGTTTGTTACATTTAGAAAGCTGAGAGATTGTAGGCCGTTATAAGCAGCAGCAACACTATTTCTCCATGGCTCGTACACGACTTGTACCTTTTCGTTGCCCAAATGGTCGACACCCGCTCGCAAATCGTTAAGTTCTGCACCCATCTGGGCCCTATCCTTTTCGGCCCTGGTGATGCATTGGAATAATTATACACAAAGTGAAAAGAGGTGTGTGTGTGTCTGCATGATGCATTAATGAAAAAAAAAGTGTCTAGAAAAACCGTTCGGGGGAGGGTTGGGGCAAAAAAATGAAAGAAACACTGAGAGAGGAAAAAAGACGTTCAGGGCTCCGAATGGAGCTTCTACCTTTTCGCGGGCAAGGCCGTCAATGGCTCCGCGAGTCTGGTTCAGCTCGTTGTGAGCAGACGAGCGGTCGTGCTCAGCCCTAGATTGGGTAAATTGACAATTGAAAATAAAAAAAATAATAGTCAAAAGTTGGATGCAGAGGGGTTCGGAAAAAATCGAAGGTAAAAAAGAAGTGAAAAAATTTGTTTTTGAATAGAAAAAAAATATGTTCTGAAAGAGATTTCATTAGGATGAAAGTTTGCAAAATTATGATCTTCTATGATAGAGAAATAAATTATTAAATTTATTCTAATTTAAATTAAATAAAAGTAATAAATATATCTAATTAAATTTTTGCAAATTTTCAGTACTTGAAATAAACATTTTTTTAACTAACTAAAATTTAAATAGTTGGTAAGAAATTATTTTGAAATTAACTAGCAATTTTGCAAACTTTTTTAGGATAATAATTTTTTCTCTTAATTCTTGTGCGAAATTCGTACTTGGCCTTGAGCTTGTTGAGCTGGTCGATCTGCTCGCCCATCTCGGCAACAGCGTCGTTGTGCTTCTTGCGCAGGTTGGCGAGGGTGGCCTCGTGCTGGATGTTGGACTCCTCGAGGTCGCGACGGAGCTTGGCCAGCTCAGCCTCGCGCTTCTTGTTGAGCTCGATCTGGGCGGAGGTGGCACCACCGGCCTCCTCAAGACGCTCACCGATCTCCTCGAGTTCGCGGGCCAGGTCGGCGCGCTGCTTCTCGGCCTTGGAGCGGGACTGGCGCTCGGCCTCGACCTCCTCCTCGAGCTCCTCGATGCGCGACTGCAGCTCCTTGATCTGCTTGTTCAGCTTGGACACGAGCGACTGCTCGTCCTCCAGCTTGGCGGTCACGGACGAGATCTCCTTGTCCTTGCGCTGGATGGTCTGCTCGAGCTCCTTCTTGTTGCGCTCCAGATCGGCCACGGCCTCCTGGGTCAGCTTGAGGTCGCCCTCAACCTTCCTCTTGGTCTTCTCGATGTCACCGCTAAAGTGAAAAATTCGTAGTTTAGTAAGTTTTGAAGTTTGATTCAATTTTTTTAATGTAGAATAAGATTAAAATTCGCTTTCGCGTCGAATTATAACATTTAACCATTTTCAGACAAAAATTTTATAAAATACTAAACAAATTTAATTTTTACTATACTCAAACTGAAAATATAATTATTCCTTTGAAGTTTTTTACAGTTTTATAATTTTTCATATTTTTGTCATCTTTGTAAAATTTTGAGGCTGATTAAAATTCCCTTCGATAAATTCAAATGTAAACTGAATTAAATTTCAATTCGGATTTCTGTTTCATATTCTTTAAATAAAACCTTCCTTTTAAAAATATTATAAATTTTAAATAAATTTAATTTTTTTAAATTGGTTTCAATATTTTAAATTAACTTTGACCAATTTCAAACCTGATTAAAATTCCCTTGCAATATTAAATAAAATAAAATACTTAATTCAAATTCCAAACATAAATTCTCCCCATTATTAAATTATTATTGGCTTCTATTAAATTTTAATTACCGCAGCTTCTTCTCGCGCTCCAGAGAGTCCTCAAGCTCATCAAGGGTCTGCTCCAGCTTAGCCTTAACCTTGTTCAGGTGGTTGACCTTGTCCTCAGAGGCCTGTTGAATTGAAATTTCAAGTTTTTCAATTTTTTTTTTCGTTTCAGATGTGTCAAAGAAACTTTACCTGCAATTCCTCGGCCGTCTTCTGGGTGGTCTCACCGGAGAGTTTCTTCTCCTTGTTGAGCTTGTTGATGAGCTCGTCCTGGTGGGCGATTTCATCATTGAGGTTGCGGATCTGGTGGTCCTTGGTGGCCTTGTCCTGCTCGGACTGCAAGTCGAAAGGGATTTACATTAGTTTCGGCCAAAAATAGAGAGAGACAAATTACACCCATTTAACTTTAAAAAAGCTAAATTCGTCTCATGTTAATTTTTTTTTCTCAACGAACCTTCTGGACGGAGAGTTCGAGATCCTCAACATCCTTCTTCAGGCCGGAGATCTCCTGTTCCAACTTCTTCTTGGACTGGAAGAGCTGGTTGCGAGCGTCCTCTTCCTGCTGCAGACGCTCCTGGGTGTCCTGTGGGTCGAGAGTGAGATGTTGAGAGTTATGCAACCGGCCGGACGCCGATGCGAGGCACGCGGCCTACATTTAAAAAAAATTCTCCTCGGAAGCAACGGCAACGCGTTGGCGATTTTTTTTTAAATTTAATTTTCGTCTCGGTAGAAATATTTTCGAGGTTATTAGAGGCGAAGTGTGCGTGTGTGTCTTGAATATATGCGGTGTTATCTCTGCCGTACATAAATTCTTACTCGCGCTGGCCTCCAGCCAAAGCCAGCTGCCATAACCATAATTCAAAGTCAGGGAAACGTGTGGGAGCCGCGCTGCTGGACGCGGCGTGATGCATCTGAGCTTTTTCTGTCCGATTAAAACCCAGAGGTGTTTTTCGTGCTCTCGACTCCTCGCATTTTCAACGAAATAAAATAAGTGAAAAGACGCGCGTTTTTATCTCTCGGTGCGGAGCAAAGCGAAAGTATGGTGGAGATTTTGTCTGCCGTTGCAGATAAGAGAGCGGAGCGCGTGATTCAAACGCCCGAAATAAATTTCCAGTGCTATTTTCGCGAGCGAGAATTAAACTTATGTTATTAGCGTGCATGACGAGGTTTGTCATTTCACACGCGCGAAACGGAAGAGATTTGCTGGTTTCGGAGGATAATTTTTTTTTTCTGTCTATTTTTAGGAGGGGAAGCCGGAGGAGGACTCGGTGGACGCATCTCTCGCGGTAAGTACCACTTACCGAGGCGATTTATCTCGCGAAACTCGAGTTGCACTTCCAGCCAGAATTAACCCGCGCCAAAAATGGAGCCTCCGCGTCTGCCGCGATTCAGGATAAACGTCGGCCAAGCTCATTAACAGGGCCGCTCATTGTCCCGCCGCCGAGACGAAGTACGACGACATTATTAAGGTCACGATTACGAGCGGCCGAAAATATGAAAAATTGCCGGGCCAGCTCTGCCGGAATTATAATTAGAGTTGCGCCCTAATGAATGCCGTCGGCGCGCGGCCCTCCAAAGTTAGTCACAAGACTAATTTTAGAGAGAGCCTCAAACAGTTTCTCCAAATTTAAAATGATTTTCCGCACCGGACGCAACCGTCCTAATTAGAAAATCGTCGCACTGCTTTTTATTTTGAACAAAAAAATAAACCGTTTTTATACCAAAAGCTTCCGATTCGTCAATCAGCCACTAGCAAAGTTGAAAGGAGCCACTTGAGTTGATCTGGAATTTCTGTCGTAAACAATCAAAGTGACACGTTCTGGACGAGTGAGAAGTCACGCACGCCAACATTGGCCGACGTGAAATTATTATTATTTATTATCAGATCGCGTTAGGGCGGCGCGCGCGCGAGAAATTTATATTCGGCCGCGTATTTATTATTCCAGCGGAGGCGTAAATGTGTCAGGATTTCTCTGCGATTGCAAGAAGTAGAGGAAAGAAGAAGTGCGCCACCGCAAGCAACGCTTTCATCCACGCGCTATTTATACTTTTCTGTGTAACGCGCTATTTTAATGAGAAAAGTAAATGTGACGACGGAAGAAGCGCGTTAAATTTGCCACTATTTTGTAATTAATTGAATTTTTGAGAAAAGGAGAATTTTTTAAAATTTTTGTTTAAATTTAAATATAATTTTAACTTACGTTGAGCTGAGCCTCAAGATCAGCCTTCTGGGCCTTGAGCTTGTTGGCCTTCTCGTGGAAGTCGGCGAGGTTGCCCTTCTCACCCTCGAGGTTGGCGGACAGCTCGTTCTTCTCCTGCTGGAGTTTGGCGAACTGGGCCTGCAGCTCCTTGTGGGCCTTCTCTTCCTTTTCGAAGGCCTCCTGAGCCTTGGCCGCCTTCTCCTCGAGTTTCTGTTTGCGTTCCGTGGGAGAGTAGAAATTGTTAAGATCGGGAATCATTTTGGCAGCGCGCAGGAAGCCACCACCATCCAAGTCCGCGGCCTGGCTGAGAGTCGCCTGTGCGCGACACCCACCGCCGACCGACCGCTTAAATATACACTTGAGAGATTCGGCGCCCCCCACCAGCCGAGGGTGGCTTGCTTTTTGGAGAGATTCGCTGCGGAATGGATGGCGGCGCGACCCAAAAATAAAATTATCATCATCGTCGTCGCTACCTAGCCTATTAGAGATGGATGACATCCTCCAAGGTGCGACTCACCCCATCAAAAAAACTGGGCGTGCAATAAATCTCCGCCCTTCCCCCGCAGCCAGCGCGCTGCCAACAGGGTAGGCCGCTCGCCACTAAATCTAATTTAATTAAACGCGCACCGCGTTTCCCAAATCAAGCAAAGTGTTGCCGGATTAAACTCGATTCCGCGGCAAATTCAAAGGTCCCACTGGTTAAATTTAGATAATTTTGGAGCAGACTAACCCAACATTAATTAATTCAAATAAAATTCAAAACTCAAAATTAATGAATTTTTTTAAAGTATGAGTCTTTGAGGTTTACATCTCTTATAAGCTTGGTGCGCCTTTCGAAGTCCCCCTGATTTTAACTAAGTTAAAAATCGTACCGCGATCTCGTCCTCGACGCGGGTGACGTTGAGCATGGGCTTGACCTTCTGCCACATCTTCCACCAGGGCCAGGTGCGGAGCTGCAAGTACTTGCGCAGGTTGCGCTGGACAACCTGGAGGGCGATCCTGTTTGCGCATAGGAATGGTTTGAACTTCCTGGTTTATTTTTTAGGATTTTTGTAACTCTACCTCTGGTCCTGCAGCTTTTTGTAGTCCTTGCGGGCCAAGTAACCGCGCATGTAGGCCTGCATCCAGGCGACGATCTTGCCCAGACGCTCATCACGGAGCTCCTCCATGGTACCCAGGACACCGGCACGGAAGAACACCTAGAGTGAGCAGCGCAATTAGGCACCGAGTCGGTGACGACGACGACTGCAGGAAGGAACGTGCGAGGCCAGAGAAGCGGTAGAAAAAAAACGGGTTAGGGCGGCGCATGCTCGTCAAATATTCTACAATTTTTATGGATACTGCGGTTGGGATTATTTACATCTGAAAGTGGTAGGCGAGTCATTCGAATGGTCCAGTCTCAATATTTTTTTCTGGCAACTGTGCCATTCGGAAAAAAGAAGCTCTCTCAGTGTGTTATTTAGGCCAATCCAAACGAGATTTGCTATCTCCAATTAAGACAAAATCTTAGTTACGAAAAGTAGACTTCAATTTCAAAATTCCAATTATAATACTATTTACTTCAATTAAAATTAAAATAAAAGAAAATGTAAAGAAAAGTGTGAAAGCTGCAATTTAAAATTAAGTTTTTTAAAGAAAAAAAAATAGTAATTTTCCTAAAATAATAATAAAACTTAGCGATTTAGTTGCTAGAAGCATTTTTTTAAAAGAAATGACAACGAGAAAAATTGTATTTCAATTTGACTTTTTCTGATTCGCACCTTGGTGTGACCCATTCTGTATTGTTCATTGTCCAGTTGGATGACGTCAAGGATAACTTTGGTGGCTTGTTCAGGGGCCATATTATCCTTGACCAGGTGAGCGCATAGGATTTTGTACCTGGTAGCGCAGGTGGAAGGAGACACATGGGTAAAAAAGGTTCACGACACAGCACGTCTTAAATATGTACATAGGGCGTTCAAATTCCAATCACAATAAGGTATTCAGGGTGATTTTCGGCTCTTTCGGAAACTTTCACGCATATTTTTGTACAACAGGTCCCATCTTTTTTTTCATTCAGAACGTTCCAGAAAGCGGCAGTTTCAGCTGTATTTATTTTTCCACTGCCGCCCTGGCCGTTCTGATTGCCAGTCTGCAAGGCAATTTTAACTTGCACCGAAAATCAAACAGGGGAGGGGATGCAGACCTTGGTGTGTCCGAGACGGAACAATTCCGCGTCCAGACCAGCAGCCTCCAACAGCAGCCCAGCAATCTTTTGCAAATCCTCCTGCCCCTTCACTTTTTTGGGGTCTAAGATGCTGTATCTAAAGGGTGGCAGGCAACAAGACGGGGGTGAAAAAAAATCGAGCGGGATGGATCTGAACTTCATGCTTAAGTACTATTTAAGTATTCTCTAAAGAGAGCGGAATAAAGTGGTTGAAAATTTCCAATAATTCATTCAAGGGCGGCGACTCTCTGCGTCTCTGCTACTCGGGTTGGTGTAAAATCAACTCGCTACCAAAAAGGGGTTTAAAATCGAGGGTGCATTCCGAGGGGTGGTTCAGTAAGAGAGATTTTGTACAGAGGTTGTGCTTGGGGGGTTCGGTATGCACCTTGGTGTGACCGATACGGTAGCTCTCAGGGTCCAGCTGGATGGACTCCAAGCACTTGGCGGCAGCGACCTTGGGCTCGGCTTCAGCCTGCATGATGGCTGGGGCCAGGATCATGTAACTGTGGGGCGAAATGGCGGGGGCAGCGCCGAAGCGGGTTAGGCATATTTCCCAAAATTTATATATTCATCCCCAACATAACAAAAGAAATTACATCAAATATCAGGCCATTCAAAAATAATTATGGATAAGGAAATAAATTGTTGAATTTTTAATTTAAAAATTTGAAGAGCCTTGATTAGCTGAATTGGTTCCCAGTTTTTTTCGTTAGAAAAAATATTTAATTTAATTTTTCTCTTTTAAACCTAAAGATCTTACCGGAGCTTGAAGTCAGGGTACATCATCCTGTTGGGGAAGCCCTTACGGCAAATACGGATACCTTCAAGTACACCGTTACAAGTCAGCTGGTGCATGACAAGATGAGAGTCAATGACACCTGAAATAGCGAGACAGACGTTAAAAACAGGACTTTGGACGTTTCAAAGGGCAAAACTAACCAGGCGCCTTGCACTCGTTGGGGATGATGCAACGCACAAAGTGAGGCTGTGTGCTCTTCAGGGTAGCCATCAGGTTGTTCAGCTGTTCCTATAGGTCGGACAGAAGCCTGGTTCGTATCATATAGTTCTTTGAAAACACTCAGGGTGGTTAGGAAAGAAATTTCTCCACTGAGAGACTGACGGAGCCGCCGGCGATTCCGATCACGGATCGAGAATTCGCTCTGATCAGCTTTGCCAGCCGCCTTAGCAAGACGTTTCTTGTTTTCAAGCAAGAATTAACGATACCTTGGTGGAGCATTACAAAATACTAGGGTTGAAACCAACAACACGCTAGGATACTCTTAAATTTTCGTGGGTTGTGTGAGGGGCAAGGGACACTAAAGTGCAGGTCTAATAATTGGCGTCGACTAGGTAACTCCTAATCTCCGAGCAGGTAAAATGCTTTTTGCCTGAGAGTGGAAAGGATTTTTTGTCATGCCGAATGAATTGATTTTGATCAACTTTGATGAGGGATTTGAAAAAGTCGATTTCGAACTATGGGGTTCGTGCTGAAAAATTGAGGAAATTTATTCCGTTTTGGAATTTTGATTCATTTCATTTTCTCGTTCGAGACGTTCAAGGTGGAAGGCATGCAAAATAGATCAAAGTGAAATTTGGAGTTACCGATTATCTCTACTATCAGAATAATTTATTAAGAATACTTTTAAAGCAAATACTGAGCAAATCAAAGTTCTCTTTTAAATTATGGAAAGAAAAGTGAAAAGTAACTAAGTCTACAAAAGGTGATAATTCTAATTACTTAATTTATCCAAATTTCAAATTAACTATTTTAATCAACATATTTTCTAATCGGCGAGTTATTTCACCTTGTATGAGGAAGATACAGTGGCGAAGCCACCGCCCTTCTTACCGCGTCCACCTATGGAACATTGAAATAATG